CAAAAAATTAATTATACATTTATCTACCTTTCTAGATAAGAAACGCTACTTCAATCCCACCCCCCTCTTATGAGGCACAAAGCTTGAAATAAATACTGTTTATACAGATGTTGAAATAACGTAAAATATGAATTAATGTTTATTTATTTAACTTTGCACAATAAATTGGGTATAATATAAATAGGTATGGTATATTAGTATACATATATTTATTATATTATTAGGTAGGTGCAATGATGATAAAAATTGTATTTATTTTATTTCTGTATTATCATTCCCCCATCGTTCGTAGGAGAATGATAATCCATCTACAAACAGCGGCAACGTCGGAAAATATTTGATTTGTCATGGAAAGAAAAAGTTCAATGTGATTATTCTATGTATAAATTAATGTGCTTAATTATTTTTATACCTACTTCATTTAAGTAATGTTATTTTTTTTTATATAAACCGCCCGAGAGCTTTTATTGTAACGATCAAAATAAATCTTTAATAATACATTATCATAGGTGTACATAAATACTTGTGATGTATCTATATACAAAAAAAAAAAATAAACATCTATGGAATCTCACTCCCAGTGGAATATCCCCGATCTTAGTCTAAGAGTCTTATACTTAGTCATATGGTCTTGGACGTTTGAGACGCCTTATGTCTAGAAAGTTGTTTAGTAGTTGTATTCCTGCTGGATTGGTGTGTTGATCCAGTATTTTCTCATGTTTACGGGCAAACTTAGTAATCTCGTCCTGGCCGAAGTAATGTTATTGCAATTATTATAATACATATTATTATTGTATTTGTTTCCTGTTTATCTTAATTTATAATATTTTCAATCTGCTAATATTCAAACTTAATAGATATGTACAGTTAATAATATCAATATAATACGATTTATACGAATAACATATTATTGGAAATACGAAAACCAATTTCTGTAGTATTTTTTTATACTATTCATACTCCTTAATGTATAATATATTTCAGTATTATATAATTTATAGTATTATTAATGGTATCAATGGAAAAGCCGTGTAGTTCAATGAGTAAATATACATACAAGTGTATTATGTTGCGTATATATGCACGTTAATAAATACGTTTAATGTGAAAAAAATTAAAAATCCTATTAGTACAGGATAGGTTGATAATAAGTGGGGCCACTAGTTTAGAAAAAAAAATTGAAAGGGTAAGATTTATAGAAGAGTTTAGTTTATATAGGGACTGTATGTAGCGATAAATTATTGAAAATAAAAAGCGAATCTCAGCTAGGTTTTATTATTTTTATTAATCAAACATTTCATTAATTAATAACTAAAAAATAAATTCTAGTTGTCCGTGTTTTTAACGAATAGTACCATACAATTATAAAAAAAATATATTAAAAATGTTTAATGCTATTTTATAAGTTTTTAAATTGGATAATAATTCATTAATCTTACTGTATGCTTAAAGGGATAAATTAATTTTAATGCATTATTTATAAAACATTTAATTATGTGTATACATCTTTATTAAAAACAAATTTGACTAAAAAGCTTATAAAAATACAATTTAACAAAATTATGATGGACCTTGTGTCAAATTGTTAAATTTTTTCAGTGGGCTTAATATGTTATTAATTTAAATTAGAAAATCGTATACGCATGTAAAATTCGGTAATTTTATTATTTTTATCAAAATTTCAAATATAAGCGCTTGTAAAAATAAGTATGGACAAGAATTTTTCATATTATTATAGTGCCATAAAAGTACTTTGTGAGATAAAAATTATATTTACATCATAATAACTAAATAAATTTGAATATGTCTATAATAGTTCAAAAGTTGTCAAAATACTATGTCTAGAAAAGGTAAATAGTATTTAATGAAAATTTTAGTTTTTTACGATTATTTTTAAAATTCCAACTGAATTACAATAACAAACACCTAAATGAAAATAACATTTGTATCGGTTTTTTTCAAATTACAATAGAAATTTCAAGGAAAATCAAAAAGTGATATATTTAGTGCATAGGTAAACTAGATAACATTTTATATTGGACCCCTCTCCTATGTTGCTGATCAGTGCAGGATCTCTGGTAGAAAACGTATTTATTTTATAGAAAGAAAAAATTCAAAACACACATCATAGTAAAACTAATTACATTTGTACATATTACATTACTCGCTGCAATCAGAATATAAAAAGTTAAAGTGTACATTATTTCATTAATTAGGCACCCCTTTAGATATGGGTACCTCGTATTAAAAGTATTAGCATCACAAATTCACAACTTATTATAATTGCGTGTACATAATATAAACAATAGATATTACGGTATACCTATCTACTTATACAGTTAAAAAAAAATAAACAATTATTCACCTTGTATTTGTATAATAGGTAACCTTTAATTATTTTTTTTTATTAAGGTTATATTGTTCTGTTAAAGTAGACATTCAATATTAGCAGTATACAAATTTTAAATAATATGCTATATAATAACATTCTGCACTAGGTATTTATAATATTTTGTCTACGAATTCAATATAGCAATTTACATTTTTTACACAATAGCTTGTCACGACGAATGAACTACAATAATTATAGGTATAATATAATACCTATAAACCTATTCTATAGGTACCTATTAATTCACAAAAAATGTATATTAATTTAATGAAATATAAGTAATCTCTACAATGTTTTATCTAATTGATTTTTTTTTATAACTACTCATTAACAATGTAGTGTAACTACTGTAACTCGTGTTATCTTTTTTTTTAAATTTAATTGAAATCTATTATAATATTACGGGTATCAATTCGATCAACGTACAATCATTACTTATCATTATTTATCTTGATCGCTGATATCGAACTATCTGATACACTTTATTTTTGAATTTTGTTTGTTTAAGTTGTAAGCCGAGATGTTCAGGCCATAGATAATGTATACTATATTATCACTTATATTAATTAAATGCGAAAGTTTATTATGTTTGTTACCTACCTTTTCACGGGTAAACCGGTAAACCGCTGATATTGATACAATTTGGTTAAAACTTGCATCTGAAGACTGGAGACATAATTTTTAAACTATTTTTCATCCCAGATATTTGATTTTTGTCTTAAAATTTGATGATTGCATTTTATTTATTTATTTCTGGTTTCCATTGGTACAATGGACAATCAGACAAAGATAACACAGTTTTTGTGTATATCTCGGAAATATTTAATATATTCCGGATATTCAATAAAAAAAAAACACCCATGAGAATTCCACAGATTGAGATACGACTGTACGACATTTTTAAAAAGAGATGACATAGGTATAGACTTTAAACAAGTTATTCAAATAACATTAAAAACTAAATTACTATGACATAAAACAAAAATTATAGACCAACATTGACATGTAGACACGGCATTTCCATGGAGGGTAGTCACCTGATCCATCTGACAATAGGGATAATGCGGAAATCATCTACCTCTAGGACTTTTTTCAAATTGTTACCAACTGGAACTCGTAGATAATAAATATATGGATAGAAGATAGGCTATTCTTACCTTATCAGTGTTCCAAGATTGATTTATTAAGTGAGGCGTTGTTTTTCTTTTACATATTTTTATCTGTAGTGATGACTGATAAATTGCCTTAGTTTTTCGACTCTTCGCCCTTCGGGAACATCACCAACATACCGTGTGTTCTTTGTAAACATCGATTATCAATATATGAACAATCCAATGGATTTCAATGTTTTTCAAAATTTTCGATTGATTCATGATGGATTGATGAAGATCGGATTGGCAATCAACAATTTGGATGGTACCATAAATAATACAATAATGAAGAGAAACTGACGGCTTATCAGTGAAGATGTAATAATAGGTGTTCTATACTCCGTATAGGTGAGTACATTACTTTGTCACAGTAGTTATCATATTATAGAATAGTGGCCTCAATTTCTAATCATGTTGGACCGCAAAACTATAATGACCTCAATTGGATGTAATGTCTTATCCATTATTTTGTTAAGTATTTCTGAATGATGCACAAAACGATGAAAATTTTGTTATCATACGTGTTATGTAGTGTTATCAACATTTAGCTATATAATTTTCTTTCACGGTTTGTTTTTCGTTTTACATTAATTGTCCTTCTCATTGTTTATTTATTTAATTGTTTAATTTTGTTTGGAAATCATAATGTATGTCACATTTTATCATATCAAATGTAATCAATAAATGTAATAAATTCAACATAAAGTTACATGTAAAATCACACATAATTAAATATAATTAGGAACACATGGTAATCGGTATTCATAATATGATTGCATAAATACGAGTATAACATATTTATAGCATAATAATATATTTATCATGATAACATCTCTCATTAGATCTCTCATCATAATCATTACGATATTCTATGTGATATTTATACTCTATAACAAGATTTTTCATAACTAAAGTGTCGGTTGTGCATTTATTTGATAATTTATAAAATTAACGATAGTTAATAAATTACGATCTCCATTATAACTAGGGTTTAATGATATAAATGATCGCCAGAATGATGTTTTGAACATTTTACCACGTATAAAAAAAGCTAATACTTATTAGTTAAACAAAATAATACAAATCATACATTTAAAACCATTTTAATATAAAAGTAAATTAGTTTACTAAACTGTATGTATAGTGTATTTTAAACAAATGAATCCACGATTTTTTTTCAGTTTACAGGGGTGAACCGAAAGATATTAAATTAGCTTCAGATCCGCTAGATATTATTATTAAAATCACAGGCGAGACCGTGCTAGTAATATATACCTAAATACGTTTTACATTTTTATTCTAGTTGGTTATTTTATTATTTACGTGTACTTTTTTTCGGAAATATATAAATTACAAATTATTATTATTTGCTTAGTATTATTCAGTGATATTTATTTTAGTCATACCACGAAACCATTAAATATTAGACCGATAACGTTATAATAATAATGTTATTATAAAAAAAGGAAAATCTATCGTTGAATTAAATCGTTGAAAGATAATTGAAGCGATTTATATATTGTAATTTGAAATCATAATATACAACACGCGTTCGATGGTGAACTAAAATGTTTTATTTCGTTACACCAATGTGGGCTATGTCCTATAGGTAATTCAACTACGTACTTAGGTAATCCAAGTATCAGGGTTTCGGTAACCTGTAATATACCTGATACCTAAATGCTTAACGTTCTATTTACGTGTAGCTTTTATAATTAGCAAAAAAAAAAACAAAGTAGAATCTCAGTTCCTTCATTGAATTATTAAATGAAATACGATTGTGTAGTTTATAAGTAGTTGATATTCCCAGTTAATAACAGTTTTATATCGTTTTTTGTATAATAAATTATTTGATGTTATTACCACAATGTTTGAATTATCGACGGTACGGGAGGATTGAGATCGTCTGAGAAGATTAGTTCTCGAAGAAGTGATTTCTGATTTCTTTAATGAATTTAAAAATATATATTTGTCTTGCCACTATGAAATTGGTTAGCCAATCTCCTCGCTATCTCAATATCTCAAATCGGATAAATTCCACTATAATTACCGATTTTGACTTTGTTGACATTATTAGATACCCACTTATTTATTGGGTATATGTTTTGTCATCTTATTTATATGACAAGATAGTTAATTATTATATTTTATATCGATAAATAAAATAAGTATATACGTATAATATTTCAGCGTCTCTTTTCTCGGAATATGTATTGTATATGTATGTAATTGGTACATCACGTTAAGGTCATAATAATAACTTTTACGTTTTGGGTACATTTTCACGTATATATTTTTCAATTTAGTACCAATTATTTTTGATAAAGTCAAAAATAAATATTCGAACAAATATTTCGAAGATTTTCGATTTAGATTAAACGCACATTGTCATCGAGTACCGCCTATCGCGTCATCGCTGTGGTTATCGACTTATCGTCACTTCATCTCGATACCACACCCACCGGAACAAAACACTAGACGAATATTCTCAGTCTGTGTGGCTGAACTAAATATTAAATAATTATTAAATAATAATACTAGTTCCCAAGTAGTACACGTCATTGTCCATACAATAATATTATCCACGTCTGCGTGACTAATAATTATTTACTGTTATCTTTAAAAATGAAATTTCGTAAAAACAACTCAAAAATAAACTTAAATAGCTAAAAAAATAACTCAAAAGCAGCCAAAATATAATACTTTGGAAATTATAATAAAATCAAATAAGTGGTCATCGAACAAAAATCTTAAGGAAAAATGAATCCTCAATTCATTTTTTCCTCATTCAACTATCGATATTGATGTTTTCCAATTTTCTCCTCCCCCGCTCCTCTACTACTTTATCTAAACCCACCAAGTCAACTGGTAATTCAATTTTTGATTTAGAGTTTTAAAACTGGAGATATTAGTGATTTTGTCATTGATAAAATTACTAGGAAATAGGAACATTAAAAAATGATTTCCTTGAAGCACCACCTAGATCCAAAATATAACAAGAAGGCTCTCATGAAGGTTTTGATTGAAGCAAGTCTTTTAGTAGAATTTTATTTGTGTTTATGAACAGTCAAAAAACACATCATACTAATAAATAATAAGCGAGACGATTTTTTTCTTAGTTTCAGAGGTCTATGGATTTAACAATGAAGTCAGCGAGTTTATATTATAAAGAAAAAAAAACATTTAAAAAACTTGGTATTTCTATTATAATGATCGTGACGCGCTACCGTTTGGCTAACGACAAAGAAACACGACGATGACGAACGGTTTCGACTTTCTTTTTTGTCATTTTTTATTATGCTATTTTTATTTAATTTATTCAATTGAAAAATATCTCTCTATCTCACTTTCTCTCGGACTGTGCCTAACAAAATGTCATGCGATCAATTAATGATACTTATAATGTTTAACATTTTGGGCTTGAAGTGGCTAAACAGTTGTAGCATGAAATAGATTCTATGGTTCTAGTAGCAAGTATAAAAATAAAACGTCTCGTTTCTGGAGTAGACGATTTAACCGATTTATTTAATATGTATAAAAATCAATAGAGTGAAATTGATAATTGTTAATAATTAAAGATACTGACGTTAAGAAGTGCGGAACGTTCGTGTCATGGTGGCGGTAGGTACTGTTTTCAAACAGTAGGACGAAGCGAGGGAAAACGTTTATAACCTCTTTGGGACTAGACCACATGGTACAAACCGTGTGTCACTTCTCCCGTACTAAGGGAACATATGTTTTATTGTGCTTCCTATCTGAGAGCTGGTGTTCATTATCTCGGGACTCCGGGTAACGAGAAGTGAATCAAACAGTCGAATTTGACATTAATCGTCGTTCTCGTCGTTGTCTTGCTATAGTTTTTGTGTTAAACATTAGACTGTTGCTACGGGAATAATTTGTTTATTTTAACAAAATATTTAATATTTATTTCATCATAAACGACGCTGAGGTGAGTTAAAATTGATTATTATTATTGTTATTGTTATTTTTTAAAACGTTTTTGTTCATGGTGCACATTATACATAATAGATACGCATAAGACAATACATATTAGCACAATACCCATGTTCGAATCGGTATTATAGACAAGTTTTGTCAATAAATTAAAGGGTTGCTCAGTGCACTATTGGTCTTAAAATGTGTTCTACGATTAGTTGTCATAGTTCTGTGTTTGTGACATTAGTATACATTGGTGTTTTGTGGTTGACCCACAAGGGCATCTAAAATTGGATTTTAGTTGGGTACCTGTGGTAAATAAATGCATTTTACAATTAGTTTTTGCATTACCAATTGATTTTGATCGGTATTGTATGAAAAATATTTTTTATATTTTTAAATAAATAATTATGTACTTATTTGTTATTGTCATACCTATTGATGTTTAAACCGCAAAACATTTTGAGCAATTTTTGGATCATTTTAAGCTAAGAAAAATTATCATTATTTTTTTGAAATTTTGTTTTTATATTTTTCCAACATCTATATTTTTTTCAGATGTTGGAAGTTTGTAATGTATTAGTATGCTTTATTTTTTTTATAGTATTTAGATAATGTAGTTATTATTTGTCATGTATATTCATTAATATTAATATATTTGGCAGGTTGTACAAATTAAATTTAAAACTGTGAATTATTTATAAAAATGTATTATCCGTAGGTAGGTAGGTACTTGCATATTTTAAACACTGAATTGTGGCTTTTTTGAATTCAATAATTTAACATTTTCTGTATTGTTATTCATTATTTGATCAAATGGAGACCTGCAGTGTTTGTTTACTAATTCATAACAAATTTAAAACAATTTTAAATAATTTTCAACTTAATTCTTTAATGCGAGAGTGTAACATATTTTATCGTAAATAATTTATTATTAAAATGTAATATAGGTAACTAGCTGTCTAAGTATCATATTTTATTAACTATTTTAATCCTCTTAGTAATATAATATTTAATAATAGAGTAATATAATATTTAATAATACCATTGATTATACAGGTATTTTTATATTATATAATCAATGATTTTACACAAGATATTCACTGCTAAAAAAATTTTATGATTATTTTATTAAATATTTAAATTCAAATTAATGTAAGATCTGTTGTACAGCATTTTAAAAATTTAAAATATTATACAGTAATTATGTAAACTATACAGTTTCCCTATACAGACTCCCTGTTTCCTTGTTTAATTTATTTCTCTTGTTGTTGTCTTGTACATTATTATTATTACTATAGTATCATTTGGGACTGTTTTATGGATGATAAAATAAAATATTTGATAGGTAATTGGTACCTAAAATACTTCTAGAAAATTGTAGAAACTGGAACTTTAATTATTGTTTTGTTTGTTTGCTAGTTACTTTATAAAAAAATTTTTCTTAGTTTTGAAATAAAAATGTTTATATTTACCTATTAACAGAATACATTTCTTTTGTATTTGTAAATATTCATTATATTATAGAAACATTGCAGCTATTTAGTTTGAGCTAGAATTTAAAGTAATTGTTTACTTAATATTAAAATTGTATGACTATCATGCATTCAAACATAATCATTTTGTTTTTTACATGATAACTTTAAAAAATATATTTTTCTATTTAGTTGGGTACAGTTAATTAAATTAATTAATATCCCTACCTAAGTATATTATAAATACATCATTCTTACCTTTTGGATATTATGTTAATTTTGTTTTTACTAACATTATTCGTGTTTAGAATAATATTATCAAATTAATCTAGTTATTGAAATTATATTGTTGACAAAAAATAGAATTAATACATACCCATTTTAGTAGGTAGATACCTAATGTTTTCTTTTTATGTAGGTATATTTTATAGGTAGGTATCTAATATAAATAATTAAAGACATATTTTTTTTGGTTAAATCTATTCATTTCCACCTTGAATGAAACATAAAACAGATTTATCTTTAATATAAATACATAATTTGACAAATTTTGTTAGTTTTTCTTATCCCTACTGACATTTTTTTTTTTATTGAACAATATGGAAATTGTAGTGTACTACTAACTAGGAAATAATAAATAAATTGTCAGGTAGTGTTTTTTTTTTTAACAATTGAAAACGTAGATTATTTAAATACTTAACACATGTTGCCCATAAGTAGCAAGTTGAAGGCTATATTTCCATTTTTGTATATGCAGGAAAGATGTTTTAAAGTAAATATATCATACAAATTGACTGTCGAAATTATTTTTTATATTTTGAATTGTAGATATTTGTGCTTTTGGTAGGACACTCTATAACTATTAACTAGACTTAATAAGCAACTGTATATAAACAATTCTAATTTATTTATTGACCTTAGTTTAATGAAAATAGTAATCATCCTTTCACCATTATTCTGTTTGCAATTTAATTCTCGAGAAATAAATAGGTATGTATAATGTATAATAGTGTACTATTGTAGGTTGTAAGAATGAACTCTATAATAATGATATAATATTGTAATAAAAAAATATATATATATTTTATACTTATATATATAAATTAAATAATGAATAAAATATTTCAAGTAAATATTGATTGTATTATTTTTAAATAGGTGATAAAAAAACTTTTTAATTGGTACGATGACCTTGATACGATGACAATTTTGTATTGAACTATTAGATCAATGGCGCAACCATGATTCACTTTTGAGGGGGGGGGGGTTGAATTTCAAACAAATTTCCGGACATGTTTTTGGGATAGTAAATTACTAAATAGGCGAAGTACATATTCAAAATTACAAGGAAATGTCTTTAATTGCAACATAAATTACGTTCAATTTGTAATCAAATTTCGGCTGCTCGGGGGTTATTACAACCAAATATTGTGCACTTTCCACGTCTGTTATAATATTGTGTTTGTTATCATTTATGATATTATAGTCTTGATATTATTAGCTTAAACTAAACACCTCCTTCGATATCTATTAATGTTTTGAGAGTTTTCGAGTTTTTAATTTCGTTACCTAGGTACGTTTGATTTAGCATTAGTCTATTCAAATAAAGTCGTTTAACCTCATAAGGATTACCCCTAGGTATTAATTAATGAGAAAAAAAAATATATTTTGAAAAATATGTAATATTTGAAATAGCAATCTTATTAATTTTGTTTTTCCATAAGAAAATCACCGATATAGTTTATTCGTATAGATTGCGATGGTTATTCGTATTTTAAGTCTTGGCGGTCGTGCTTATCGCTACACGAATTTTCTAGAACAAACTGTTATTATTATTGCGTATATATTACATGCCTAATGGCTTTTTAGACTTTAATGGATCGATATTATATATTGATGAACGTCCGTTATACGAACACGAACGTTGTGCGTACAAAAGTTTATGATAAAATAATATGTATTATTCATTTGCAATATTATTCAGTGGATTTGTTAGATTTTGCTTCGAGTACGCCCAATTGAATATAGTTGGCCCGCGTACACTTTTAGGTACTTCATAGAATAATAATATTGTAATATATTGGTGGACAGGCGTACATTTTTTGGCAAATTGGACAGGGGGATGAGTAGAGCTCTAATTCAATCTATTTCGAATTGCCCATGCTCTCTGTACGATGATGATGATGGCGGCGGTTTTGTTTTTGTTGGATATCGACCTACCGATTTGGGTTCGAATGACGATTTCAGTCGATATTGTCGTTGCGTCATTTTCGCGTCCGCGGGTTCGTCGATCTCTTGGTCGATTTCTTCGTCGGAAATTTCCGTATAATAATACGTATTAATACGGTAGGTACTATGCCGCTACGCATCGCACGTGTTTTATCGAACGCCGCCGTTGCGAATATAATGCATAGGCATTGTATCTGTATTCAAAAGAGTTTCTGGAAAAAAAAAAAAAAATCAACAAAACACGTTTGATAATATTCAATAATTATTATTATTACGGAGTTGAGGCTCGTTTAAGGTGTTCGTGTGCAAAGACCGCCGCGGTGTGCGCGCGTCCGCGTGTCTGCGTGTACACTCTGTATGCACGGTCGAATGGATTTTTACGTACACCCGTGTAGGTGGTTGTCCTTAGTCGGCATCGGGTGTCGCGGTTTATTGTTCTTCCATATTAAAATCCCCCGCATTCATCTCTCGGTCGGTCCGTGGCCCCGGTGTCGCCGCAACGAAAAATCGCGTGCGGCACGAAAAATAAAGGGGGACCGCGAAACGGTCCGGCGGTTTTCGCCACGAGAATTTTTTTTTTAATAATTACGCGCGTACCTATGCCGTTTAGCCAATTTTCGACACGCTTCGCCGTCCCGTTTACACACTCTGCGCACGCTACACAAATCGGGATTATTTTGGGATTATTTAACCCCGTTTTTCGGGGTTTTATCTTCAAAACTGAAAATCAATTTTATTCGATTTGTATACGTTACACGCGTTTCGATTGCGGTATGTGTACAGTCCAAAACCCCGGAGTTTCGAAATCAGAATTTTTCTCAAAACTAATTCTTACATTAGTATGTTATACTCTCGGTTCTAAATTAACACTGTATACAGAGCAATCGTTTTGATCATAAATACGCGATTGTCTACGAAGATGTTGCATGTTTTTCTAGTTTTAATAGAATCTGCTATTATCACTTTGGTCTACATTTCAAACTATCATGTATGTATCATAAACATTAAGCGTAACAAACTATTTTCTTTTCGAATACGTGTTTTAAACCGAGTGGAGCCCAATTATTTTTGTCGCATATTTTCTTAACTGCAACGTCGACAACTCAAATTAAGTTATAAACAACACAGCACACTTATTTAAAACAATCAACAATAAGATCACGTACTCTTATTCGGGAAAAGACTGGTCGGAGTTTGCCAGGGACATGTAATGATCACTGAAGAAAAGGATTTATATAGAAAGTATTGATTATATTGATATATTGATGTAATGTGCGAGGAGGGACCTTAAATGGCATGTTGGAAAGTAAGAAGAATCGGTGCATTCAGGTAAAATCTTGAGCAAACATGTTATGTAAGCTTCAGTAGTCTCCGCAGTCAGCCAATGTGTCCACAGGCCAAGTTAGCCGAGAGGGTATCTTATTAAGATAAGTCGAATTGGTTTCCGATTAAATTTGTTATGCATGTATATATTCTTCGAGACTTAATAGTGCTCGCTGCTTACTGATTTTATACTAGGTACATTTTATGTTTTATATATTCCGTATTTATAGTCATATAGGTTTAAAGGGCTATTGTGCCGTAAAATGTTAATAATAAATAAATAAAATAGGTTCGTATATCCAAATAGATTGACGTTATCTTAATTGATAAACACATCTAAGCAAACTTAAGTTTTGCCGCCCCTTATATATGTAAATACTTTGTCAAAAATTTTAAATGACACTGAGCGAGGACCTATGTCGCCCCCCCCCCTTTGATTCGGCCCTGAGTATTTCGGCAGTACGCCAACATAGATAATAAAGAGTGTATAGGTCATCCCTATCCTAGACCTGTACATTTTTCGTTCAATATGACGAACTTGGGCGATTTGTTTACATTATTTTATATTATACGACAACGTGATAATATGGATAATAAATATAATATGATTAACCATAACAGTTATATGCAATGTTATAGTTAGATTATTTTTTGGCCTTGGAAGTGATGCTTTTAATGTCCCATTAGACGGGTCCTGCTCAGGTAGTGTTATCTCATAGTGGCAATTGCAAATAGTGCAAAGGCCGTGGCATTAACTATGATAATCTATAAGTGATGAACATATAATCATAAACTGTAACTAGAGCGCGCCACTAGAGTGGGCCCCACGGTTGGGGACATTAACAGCACACATTTTACCACGGTCTAGGATGGGGAGTTCCATAGGCCTTGTTGTATGTTCATGTGATTGAGATTTAACGTTATTACGGTGTTCCCGCAAAATGTAAATATATCACCTGAGTAGTAAAGGACAGTCGTGTTGTGGACTTAATGTGGCCTATCCATTATTTATTATCTATGTACTCCGATATAAAATTATTATCTTGATAACTGTAAAATACCCATCGTAGTATACTAAATGCTTAAAAATTTTCTATATATTTTAGTATGATATTTGAAGTACCTTAATGTATACGACGGGTAGATTAGGTTATAAACGGGAATCAGTTCGGTATCACCTGGCCGAGAACCGGCGTGTAATCATGGAGATGAAAATAATTATTTAAGAGTCTAGCTACTAGTAAAGTGTAAAAAGTTGCGTTGAGTTGCTTGTTGCGAGAGTATTCCACAATATACTATAATCAATGCTATAATCAAGAACAGGGTTGCTAATATCAGTGCATAAAATTGTTTATATGTTACATGTGTAATAATAATATAGCAATGATAAAACTATTATACAAGGGCTAAACCATACGTATACATTTTATTTTCTATAATATTTTTAATTATTCAATATTGATTAATTCCCATTTTGATTTCAACTAATCAACTTCGTTTATAACTTTTATATAATCTTTACTTAATTTGATATCGATGCTATTTTGTTTACTGTTTACGTAATATATTTTAGTCCAACTAGAAAATATCTAAATAAATAAAAAATACGCTTCATTGTAAAAACAATATCGTCTCGGATACGCATCGGACCTAAATTAAAGAATAATTTGATAAAACAAATCACATCTATCATAACAAATGTATTTAAATTTAAAACAAAACGTATGTTTTTTTTTTAGTACTATTCATAAATAATATTGTTCATTTTAATAATGATTAACTTATAAATTATTATGCCTGCTAGTTGCTGTTTAGTCACAATACAAAATGTATTATATAATTACTTTTATACAGTATGAAACCTAGTATTTTTGTACTGCACGTTTAATACGTGTTTTACACTTAACTGTATTACACATTTCAACCCTGGGTAGTTTATGACTTATCATTTATGCAAAATTGATCGTGTTGATTGTACATACGGAATCGAATTCGGTACCATTTTAAAACATTGAAAATGAGATTCTATTAAACGATTCTATATAATGATAATTGCTGTTTCGTTGTTCTTTTGAATCGTCCTGTACGTATTTAAATAGAAAATAACACACTGGGTACGCCCAAAACAATTTGAACGCAATTTAATATCATATAAATCATTGATATAATGTCACCAGGTCACCAGCATGTAAACCACCCATACTACCTAACACATACTACCTAACTATAACTGTATATCGAAGAAACTTTTTTAAATTCTTATTTCTTCGGCGATTTGTGTACATATTTTACGCCTATTGTGAAACTTGTTAAATATTCGTTTTGTTAGACTTCGATATTGTTTAGCTTTATAGAATTATAATATACTACTAGGTACTTGCCTTTGCCTGACGTTACCCATGCCAATTTATTCACCTCTTTAAAAACAGTCTTCTTTAAAGAATCCTTTCAAAAACCGAAATCGAACGAAATTCAATTTAAGTTTTCATACCCCCGCTTTTATCACAGTTGTATTTCTCGGTCCGTAACTAAATTAACTTATATAATAACTGTTCCTTTTTTTTTTTTTTTTTCGAGAAAATTGAATCACATTGGAATAACCAACGAGTGAATGGAAAAAAAATCAATTTTCAATTTTATGAGAATTACCGTTTTGAGGGTTGAATTTCGGGGGAATATTCGAGTGGGGTCCGCGGTGTTATTTGACAGTATTGTATAATTATTGTGAAATAACAATATAAATAGTAACATAATAGTCAAAATAATATATCTTAGACACTTAATCAAATTATGCATAATATCTAAAAGTAAAATCCTTATCTTCACATGGCGTAAATGGCACGTCGATAAAGACGATGAAGGTTAATGAGACATATTGCCCTGGTCGTTGGGGGTTTTAGTGTTTCACATGTACTCACAAGTACATTTCGATGTTTAATAAATTATAATCAAATATTTTTAATTTAAAAAAAAAAAAATGGTATTTATGTTGAAAAGCTGTGGGACTTGGGATTGTTGGATTTATATTTTGAAACCAGATTTAAAGTAATAACCTTAAAAGTAGCTAGAGAATATTTAATATTTTCTATATTCGGATCCGCCAAATATTGAAAATTGAAGAAAACAAGAATTTATGTATTTTGTTTGTTCAAGTATGTTATTAATTTTTGTTATTGGAAAATTACTCTGGTTGTTTCAGTAAAGCTGTTAAAAGTTTTCAGTTTGTTTTCAAAATTTAAATCGATCAAACCCAAGTCATATAGTTCTGTCTGGATTTGGCTTGTTTTACGTAACTTTTTGGATGTAGACTTGTAGACTTTCGAATGTAGCCAATAAGGTCTTAGTTTAAATTTAAAAGTGTTCTTTTTTTAAAACAGTCATTGGTTAGTAAAAGTGCTTAGATATTTTTGCTCTATACCTATAAAATATGCCGAATTTTCGTCCGGCGTACTTGAAATGGACTTATGAAATTTTCAACAGTGCACCCCTTAGATCTTTTAGTTTTTTCCAAAAACTTTAGTTTTTTTTGTTGATACGTCAGTATTATTTTTGTCGATTTCCGCGTTACATTTAGGCTACAAGGAAAAACGGGGCTCGGGACTTAGAATCGGTTTTTGATCGCAATGACTTATCGATGCTTTCGGTACAGTGTATACATATTGCAGTACGTGCGCATTTTTTTTTCTTACTCGCTATTTCTTTGTCGTTTGTCTATTTTTTTTTCTTTAGATTTCTTTTTTTTCAACATTGCAGTTGTTTTCGTTTCGTTCTATTATATTTTTACCCCCTCGGGACGCGAAAAATTACATTATTATCGAAAACGTGCGTGTTGATGCGATGCGACGAAAGCAGGTCCACAATAATAATAATTGATAACATAATATTATTTTATAGGTACGATAAAAATTATTACACCGTCGTCGTTTTTGAGATTGTATCTCGCGGCCGTATACGAGACGAGTTGTGAAAATATTAATAGTCGGCTCGTTTTCTCGACGGCGGCGAACACACACACGCGTACACTAACCGGTGGAGGGGGGTGGAGGGAGCGAGACTCGAGTGTACAATATTATTATTATCATTATCACAATTCACAGGCAAACATCGGTAAAATAGCATCGGTTATGGCAAGAAATCTCGTTTCGACGATGGACAGTTTCTTTTCGACCCGGTTACCATGCCGCCGCCGTTTTTTTTTTCGAACCAGAATCGTCGCAGTCAGGTCATCGTACTCGTCGTCGCGGCTATATTTTAGTAAAACGGTCGTATCGGTACTTCCGTTTTCGCGACGATCGCGTGTGTGTGTCCGTATAGCTGGTCGACTGCAAATAATATCGAACGGTTTTTTTTTTCTTTTGACGGATTTTTCAGTAGACAATAAAACAATACGTTTTCTTATATGTGTGTGTATGTTTAATACTACGATTAATCGTTTTTGCGTAACTTTTAAATAAGCGTTTGTTAACCCGTCATATTACACGACACTGACTTATTTGAGCCTATAATTATTTATCGTCTAGCACATCGTACGACGAATATGACATCTCTTCTATCGCAATTAGAACATTTCCCACCGCGAATTTAATATATGTGTGCGAAAGTGGTACCATTAAATGCGGCGCGATATCGATGGATTAAATGAAAACAATTATATTAAAAAATCTGAAAATCAGCTAACCTCATAATTGTTCATAGGCGTGCGCACACGGTTTGCCGGATGTGCCTGGGCATTGCCCAAAAATTGTATGAAAACATTTTTTTTTTGCTATTATGTCGACATAAGACAACAGTAGTTACAAGTTTTATGTTTTGTAAAATTGTCATCACTTTTTTTTTTCGTTAATTTAAAATCTAGTTCATACATTTCAACTTTACTGCCAATTTCGTTCTTATCTTTTACGACTATGTTACCAAATATACTGTCTTGATTGTAATTATCCATGTTGTTTACTCATAGGATATGATTATCGATTGAAGATTACAAAGAAACTTTTACTTCTATTTTTTTGTAGTGTATGATATTTAATTAGATAATTGATATAATTATGAAAATTAGTTTAAAGACGTGTATAGAATTAATTATTATTTTGTATTATCTAAAGTACTCGTTATCTTTAGTATTGAAAGGTAAAAATAGTTGATTGGGGGGGAGGGGGGATTCACCTATTAAATTAATTTTTCTTGGGTATGACCTGAACTTAAAGTCTGCGTACTCCTATGGAAGCGTTATCTAGTTATTAAAAATATTTATATATATATACCTACGAAAAATACTTAAAAATCTACTAATTATATGCGTATTATGGTTCGAGAATTAAAAATCGTATTAATTTAGTTTCTGTATTATAGTATGATAATTTTAATTATTTAAATCACCTTGTCGGTTGCGCTTATATCGCTCTGGTTTTTCACGAATTTTCTAGAACAAACTCGCATATTGTTGTTACGTCAAAGGCGGCGTTTAAAGGGGAAGGGCAATTTGTTCTAGACATTTTGTTTTACTGTACATGTAAATACTTTTTTCTATTTATGTATAGGCATATATATTGTATATATATATATATTTTAAAAAATTGACCTCCCTAGGCAAAGAACTAAATCCTCCACTGTGTTGTGTGTTGTATACCTAATGTCTGTTTAGACTGAAACGGATCGATATCAATATTGACGAAAGTTCTTTATATACAAACAGGAACGTCATGCATACTAAAGTTTGTGATAAAATATTTATTATTTATCTATAATGTATTTGTTGGTTTTTTTTTTAGCAGGTACGCCCAATTAAATATATTGTTGGCCCGCGTACACTATTAGATACTTCATAGTAAAATATTGTATTATAATGGTTGACGGACGGACATTTTTTGGCATATCAGACAGGGGGATGAGTAGATGGATTCAATCTATTTCGAAGTACCAATGCTCTTTAAATAGGTGGTACCATATTAAACGTTGGGCGAAATTTCTTATAGAATCGACGTATTAACCAAAAAAACAAAAGGACATACTTTACACACAGTCGATGAGCTCACTTTAGGTGAGAAGTTGGGAAGATATAGAGGGGAATCTAATATGTATATATATTATATATCTATACGCAAGATTAATGATTGCTAACGAAAAACGATTCTGAGAAGACTCCGATTATCCATGTTTTAAAAAACCGTTTATTATTTACGATTTTCGTCAAAATTTGATATTAAAATTTTTATAAAAATAAAAATACTTTATTACACAACTATATACACAACTTTTTTTCTTATTGACCTCTTAGTACTACATATAATGTATCTCCTGTTTAATTTTCAAACGTTTCTATTTGGCCTATAACAGCTTGTATCTACAGAGTATACCCACTGAATAAATATTACGTAAAAAAAAAATTTGTAAAAACTTTAAATGTCTAGAAAAGGAAAATATAAGTTTTATATTTAAATTCCAAGTTTCAACGAATATTTTGAATTACAACAAAAACACTAAATTTTAAATAATAAAAGCAATTAATTTCCCCGTTTTTTCTATGTTTTTCGAAAATTAAAAAATAACTTTGTTAAAGTACCAATCAGAAAAAATTCCCTTTCAGAAAAGGTGCTATACTTGAAACACTGAAGCGAGATTTTTGGTTAAATTTTTGTACACTGTTTAAAAAAATAAAAAAAAGATAGTAAAACCAATACTTTCCTCGCTTTACTCAGAATCTGTAATAGTTAAAATCTGACTTCTCATGTTTTTCACAAAAACTGTCCATTTATTATCAGAGTTCGGATTTTATAGCACTTTAAAGTACCGAAATATACACTATAATTTTGCTATTAACAATTGTTTAATTATTTTAAATTGATAATAAATAATTAATTTCTTATTTGAGTTTATGACCAGGCATAGTTAATATAAAGAATGGATGAACGGGACACGTCTATATATATATCGTGATTGTATGGAGTTGAGATCTTTTTTCATATTACCCTCTAAGTGTATGGGGTACTTTTTGAGGTAATATTTTTTTTTGTTCTATGTCATGTTGGCTGTTACTTAAAGTAACCTGTTTACTGTATTTTATAAACCAGCCGTTTTGACGATTTTGGTTTTTAGTTTCGTTATAATAACATGGTTATGCTATACATTACTGAAATATCATAACCTAACAAAATCAACATTTATGATGTTTTGTTATTGATAAAGTAATGATTATAGATATCTAACCAGTACTTTTTTTCATATTTTTTTTTACGATCATAATTCTTAATTCAACATTTTGGTTTTTCAGTTTATTTCATTAAGTCTTAATAATGTCAAGTCATGTGTCACATTTTTAAATTTCGTATCGTTATATTTATTATCGTATTATGTAGGTAATGTTAAAAAGGTAACTTATTAAAAAAACTAATTTAACGATCGGAACAAAAGATATTTAAAATACAATTTTTCAGGAAAGAGTAGCATCGAAACTTGGAAAATAGCACTGGAAATCTAAAGCGCTTCAAATAATATGCAAAGTAAAATTTTTTTCTCAGAATTCCCGATGTGTAAAACAAATGTATATCTCACTCTATTATTTTTATTTGTACACAATATAACCATTAGAAAATACTTTAGAATCATCTGAACCAGATCTATGTATACTGCGAAATTGTCGAAAACACGGCGCTATAATCTATTACGGGCTGAATAAATTGATTATTCTAATTATTTACGTAGAGATTTAAAAACAAAAATTACTAAAAATCTAGGGAAAACTTGTAACTAGGTATGTTCCTAATATTAAAAAAAAAATACACCATATTTTTGTACATAATATTAATTTTTATTTTTACTATTTTACTCGTTATCATTTTTCCTTTTTCTTCTTCGCCTTTATCTCAACTATTTGGAGTTGGCCACCTTCGTTCTAAATTTTCACTTGACCCGGTCTTCTTTCTTGCATATACTAGCTGTCCTTATGTTATTCTCAAACGTATCCAACCATCTCGTTTTCAGTTTTTATTTCCCTTTTTCGTCCTACGTTTATTTTCATTCAAATTGCTGCTTCATATTCCTCTCCCCCCATAACATGTCCAAATTATCCCAATCTATTTTTTTTCATTTTGTCTACTATCAATGCTTAACCTCTACCTTTTATTTACTTATTCCTTATCTTATTTTGTCTCGACTTTCCACAGCCCATCCATCTAAGCATTTTCATCTTTGCTACACAGATTCTCTGTTCTATATTTCTGTCTAACTTGTTATACCATTTACCGCATTATTTAAACCTATACTTAATAAATTGTATAAACAATAAATATGTAAGTAAATTGTTATCCTCAAACATGCTTATTGTAAAAATGTATTTATAGATTGTATTTATTGAAAATAAAAGTTACAAAAAAAAGTACTCTTTAAAATTTGGATGAATATTCTTAAAAAATATGTATATATATATATACATATTTTACTACCACTGTATGTAAATACAGTAACACCGAACCTAATTTAAGGGGTGTACGTCCTAGAATTGATAGTTTAGTATAAAACATTGCACATTTTACAATTAATATAAGGATCAGTAGACATAATATTATGTAAAATAACGCGAACTAGTCTATTCCTAGATTGCCGTAGCGTGCATTTCTATGTGATTCCATTAGTACTAGCAAATAACTATTTGACTTCAACTATTAAATTAATAGTTTTAGATAAATAACTCATAGTTCCTAATTAATTGTATATTTTATATATATGGTCATTAATTCTAGGGCGAAAACTAGATAGATAGGTTTTCCTTCAATTTGAGTTATTTTTAGTCAGCACAAATAAATAAAATAAAATCTATATCAGTAAGTACTCCATTGTATTTATAGTCAAGTACTTAGATTATATTTGGTATTAATTTTATCAATTCAATATTTTTAAAATGTTTTTATCCTGAAAAGTTTATAAACGTGGACTTATCATTTATTATCGCCCCTAATAATATTTTTCTACGGACAATTTTTTCAAGTTGGAAATTAAATTCCCTATAATAGAATTTAAGTAAATAAAGATTGAATACATAAGAAAAATAAAATAAAGCTGAACCAATATTCCGTGTTTAATTATTCTTGATTGATTTTGATTGGACCTATTTAGGACATTTCATCCTGGACTTATTATTATTTTTGAACATTGTCTTTTCTATTATTCTGACACGGGTTGAAAATTTGTCGAAATTATTGTTGTAATCTCTGTAATACGTCAATAATAATACCTGTTCTATATAAACCAATGATAATTATTATAATAATATTTTTATTACTTATTATATGTATACACGAAAGATGGTTGGGTTACTACAAGGGGGGCAGGCCAGGTGGGTTAAATTAGTGTAGAAGGTGATTCATCGCGTGATGTGTGTGTGTGTATTACATGGGAAAGCTACCGCAAGGTCATTGTCCAACATCAACACCTACTGGTATTTTTTTTATTTATTTTTTTTTTCTGTGTGTATGATGCATTCTGTAAATGCGTGTGTTTGCCGGTGACTGGAAAAACTCCTCGCGGTATGCCCGATTCTCCTACACAATGAGAACAAAATATATTATTATTATTATAATTACAATAAAAAGGAGGATTCACACCGGAGCTTTTATCGTTGACTAATCGGCGGCGAGAAGAAACGCGCTATTTGAATGTTTGATAATAATGATTATTTGGCTTGTCAGTGTTTTTTAAACGCATACACGAAACTATTGCCCGCATCGATGATATCGAAGCGACTACTTTTTGCCATTTTCCACGAGAATTCCAATTGCATAATATTTAGATATTATATTGTTATGACGTTATATCAGTCAGAATATTTTGGTAAAGTATTATATAGTCCAATATATTAATATCTCGAACAGCGACGGCTATTATTCAGTAAATGGTCCAAGCGTTGCTTCGGTAACGCGTACGAAATTCGGTGGGTGGTTTGGTAACATTATGGGATTGATTTCTCTCAGTTTTATTATATTTTATAGTTTTTTGTATACTAAATTATAACTTTATAATGTGTCCTATGAAAGTGGGCGGGTGGTTACAGGTTCTTAAAAATGTCCTCAGTGCCGTAACGATAATTATTGTTTGAAGACACCCGCTACCACAGATATTTAGTGATACCTAACCTTGAGACGCAAAAGTAAATGATAATAATTCATAACTATAAAAAAGCGGACCGTGTCTTGTTCAAAAGTAAATAATAGTAATAATTCAGCTCTTAAAAAAATAGCGGACCGTGTCTTGTTCAACGCTTGTTCAATAATCTAGTTTATCGTCTATAAAATATCTGTGGTTTCAATAGTTCGTACTGAATGATTTTTTTTTTCTGTGTTGCTACCATAATCTTCAGAAAAGTGTTGGTAAATTTGTTATGTCGTCGTCAATCTTGCCAGCGCCAGTCTACGATATTAGTTAAGGCTTAACCGTCGTTGAAAGCTCCTCTATAGTGTGAATCCCCCTTAATTCGGTATTATGTATATTTATATTATTCATTATTCAAACGTCACAGAACGATCGCGTGATGTCGTCGCCGTTATTTAATCCGATATAGAATTTTCTCTAGAATCTTTGCTTGTCGTATAAATAATAAGTAGGTACTTAAACCTATTGAAAAATAATTATTAACCGACATCTGGCGTACACTTACGCGTATTCGACGTTAATGAAATGTAAAAAAAAAAAAAGAGAGAATGAAGGTGACAACAAAGTATAATAATATGTTACTTGACCTAAAAACGATCGGCTATAATATTATTATATAATATAGATGTAGACGTTATAATTTATTATCGAAAACAATTTTCAATCGTCTCTGTAACATCGTTTTATAATATCGCCGGTTTCGTGGCAAAACCTCGTGAGTAGATTCCATAACATTTTACGAGATAAGTGAAAAACTGTAGCGTACTGTGCCCTACATAAAAATTTCATTATTTTTTTTTCACTTTACCATTTAAATAATATATCGAATAGATGCCAATCTATTCGATACCATTTCCGAAATAGTATTTTTCGATGTAGAAATTTGACTTGCGAGTATGGATTTTCTGAAAAATTGATATAAAACGATTATAACAAACTGTTTGGTCGAAAACCTCGTAAGTCGGTTTAAGTTTTATATATAATTTTTTTTCGGATACCTAATGTTCTTATCAGTTGAAAATACCATGAATATTTTTTAATCAAACTTTGTAGAATAATGCATTTTTATAAAATGAAAAATACAAACAAATCGTTAATGATATATTTAATTGATCTATAACCTCACCCATCGAGCGATCGGAATTTTATAAGTACGGAATAATTTTGGTTTTTTTTTGTTTTTGTATGTTCATTAAATTTCTAGTAATATACTCGGCTATATAGAAAAACGCGCAATACTATTATAATAATTGCAGGTACGATTTTTTTTTTTTTTAAATCTATCTAGGTAATCTGTATAAAATGTGCTTCCTAAAACAGTTTTTGTACTGTACATTTTTACCGGAAATAGATTATTATTATATTTTTTTTAGATTCTGAGTGAAGTGAAGCTATAGGAATGTATTGATCGTACTTTATGATAGTATATTTTATAATATGAGCACAGCGAGGAATTGTATTAGTTATATACCTACTATGATATATGATTTTGTTTGTGTTTTCTTTACCAGAAATCATGCTGCAAAAAAAAAATACGATATGAGAGCTTTATTGTATCATTTTGGATCTAGTCCTGTGTACTGATGAGGTCATTTTTTGATTTGTCCTGAAGTTTTCCTAATAAATGGAAAAAATGGTAATTTTTTTTGATTTATTGATTACAAGAACAAAAATTCAACTAGGTAATAATGCTCTGCGCAGAATCGCTTTTCGACAACTTAAGTTAATCATTGCGTACAATTAATATATATTAAATTACTGTGCAGTGTATTCTCCTTCTAAAACAATGATACACCCACCAGCAATATCAGCTTTTCTTTTTTTGCTTGAAGGTAAATTTATATAATTTCATGTATTTATGTACCTATCTATCTATTAAATAATATAATACTAGATTTTAAAATTTATTTCGTTATCGATCAGCCGTGTAGATTACAATAAATATAAATATTATTCATCATTTATTATCCTTGTTTTTTTTTTTTGTTAATAATAAAATATCGTGTTTTAAATACGTGTAAATTTATTCGCCGAATAGATTATAAAATAAAACAATCTCACCGCAATAATTATTACAACTGATATTCATCGTGATATATTATAACCTCTATGAATATGTAATTTAAAAACAAATTAATAATATATTTACTACTTCTTGATAATTATTATTGCGGCCTACTTTTCCATAATAATACACATTATAAATTAAAATAATTTGTTCGTTGTTTATAAACATTTATTATTCAAATTTTCCATAGTAGAAAAATTTAGACCGTCATAAATGCATGCGTTCCGAAAACAAACGATATTTTTCAAAAGTTAAGAAATACCTAATATGAAATTTGTAGAAAACGATATTTAGGGGAGACGTGATATCTCATTGGAGTTTTTAAAAAAATCAATAATAGTTTGAAAAATGAAAAAAATAAACAGGATTTTAAACTTTGGATACATAGCTGAAAATTATTTAAACAATCGTTGAACCCAAATGATTCTGAATTTTATTATTTTATTATAATATATAATAATCATATATCTGGTAAGCTTTTATAATTGTTTACCATTATTTGTCTAATTCCTTTAAGGGTATGTTTATTTTAACACGTGTTATACTGAAAATAAAAATATTTTGAGTTGTACTAAGATTAGCTCTTTGTTTGTCGAGAATAGTATAAGTCATACAGTTATATAGGACTTAAGCCATTTAGAACGTTATTTAGGTTAGACCATTTAGTTATTTAACAGTTATGTCATTATGTTGTTTAACAATTCCTTACGTTTAATTTGTTTATATTGAAAATTATATAAAATTGACTTAATCCTTTTTTTCCCCCGAGACTAATATACATACTTTTATAGACTTTTATATGTATATGACGGATAAGGTCGTAAATTAAATTACTTGATATTAGTTTATAAAAAAAAAAAACTTACAAGTTAATGTGTTTAAAATATTGTTTACCGGATTATACACCGTGTTTCTTAAATCCAATTAGCCTTTTATTATTATTTTTTGAATAATATATTTTTTCCCCTTTAAAATACGTTTATTTTTTTTCGTCTTTGTTTTACTCGACCAAAATATTTCATTTTCAGTTATTGTAAAAAAAAATATATACACGAGTACATGAGACCACTGTCTAGTATAATATAGTATTGTGTTGTGTGTGCAGGACGAACGTGAATTATTTACGTTTCGTGTTGTAATCGCCGTCGTTCATCGATTTTCCATATTCGATTATTTAGTAGGTACCCACCACTACTACTCGTTAGCATCAAACCGCAGATGATTACTAATAATATTATAATCATTCACGTCATGATTCATCCGGCATTATAGCGTCGAGACGTCTGACCAAACTCGATGGCGTTCGTACGGAATTTCATCGATTTTTAATGTGTTCTGTCTATTATCATTTTTTCAATTCCATAATGATACACTCTGTATCTGCAAGATTGCGTATAGGCAATTGTTGTCAAAATCTCGCAGATACGCCTGTATATAAAACAATATTTAATGCTTACCTACCTATTTTTTCTCGAACATCTGTTCGTTGTAATATTATTGTAGGTATTTTGTGTGTGTGTGTGTGTGTGTGTGTGTGGGTGTTGTAATAATTTTTCGTCATATTATTATTACTTTATCGGTCGAGTCTGTTAATAATATTGTGTAGTGTCGGGATGTTATTAGTTAGTTATATAACGTAAAAATCGATTTATAAAATCTCACTTTACTGTCTTAGAATTTTTGATCCGCTGTTCCAAAAAATTAAGTAAAAAGAAAGCGGACCTACTTTGCACCATAGGCCATCACTGTCGTAGGTGTGAGGTCGGGAAGGTTTAGCATATATTTACAAGTTAGTAAATTAAGCGTTTGTAACATACTATATAAAAGCAACGATCAATCATAATATTGTAACCAAAAACCGATTCTGAGTGTTGGTCGTGTTTTCTCAATCTTTTTATACGCGTAGCCCAGAAATCAACAAACGTAAAACCGTCTATATGGTCATTTTGTTGTAGGTTTTTTTTTTAAATTTGTTAAATTCGTTCCAAGTTACGAACAATCGTTCAAATAATGGTGTACCTCGACTTTTTTTACCTTCGTTTTTTACTAACCGAAATATTGTTCGCACAACACTCTTCTCTTAATTCGCCGCACTTGGAATCTAAAAATGATAAACTATTATTCGTATTATTATAATTACTGCGACACGGATAAATTGGTAAATAGTTATTAAATGGCTGAGGACACGGCCACTAGACGTGGTGTGCGGTTAGACACTTTAACGTTTGTAAAATAAATTGCTTGTCAAGATGTTTGATATATACCCGTTAGTATAGTGCCAATATTTTCAGTTTAGTTCTAAAAACATTAGGTCAGGTAATATGTGTACGTTTATTTGTTATTTACATTATATTTTGAAAACTGGCGAAAAATAACCAGGAATACACACGTTGTTATTATAATATACTCGCTTTATCTTTTTCGCCATTTTTTTAATTGAATATTGAGATTTTTTTTTTCTTTGAAATAAAAGGTGAAAAAAATGTTTAAAACACCGGTTTCGTTACGTTTTTCTACTGGTGACTATTATCTATTACAGTGTATACTTTTACCTATAAAATATATACGCGATAACTCGATGTCACACCGTACCGCGTAAACTGATAGGGGAAAAACCAAAATGTTTTTGTTTTCGGAACGAATTTTGTTTCAAAAACCTTATAGAAACGTTAAGTCAATGAAAAAAAAAAAGCTGTTCTAGGATAATGTGGACGGGTGCAGCCACTGTTGCAGGTAAAAAGTTGGGAAGGTAGGATATAAAGGGGAAATTAATTTGAATCTGTAAGCAACAATAAACCATTGCTAACGAAAAAACGATTCTGACCGAAGTTCAGTTGATAGTGATGCTTGGTCAACAATATGCGTGTCATATTATGGTAAAATAATTAAATAGACATTGTATATTTTCTTTAATAATATGTTTTTAATATTTTAACGTTTTTCCCGGTTTTTCACGTCGGAGTCTCCGTCCCGGTCTTTTTGGTAGGAAAAGTGTTTACTTTTGTAAAACATCTTTGTAAAACCAATACATTCTTAGCTCCGCTCAGAATCTAAAAATGGTCCCGGCTTACATCGTGATCGTCTCGCGATGATTTTCGATTATTTATCGAAGTCAAAATGTTTGTGTTTCGTCGCGGTGTTGCGGGGTCATTGGCGTGCGCGCGGTGTTGGCAAATATTATTATTAACGCCAACAAAATGTAGCATTTTTTCTCGTTTGTACGTCTATTTAAGTCTCTCTATAAATATATATCGCGACGCACGATGGCGACCAGGAAAAGGAAAGGAAGGCCTCTATTAATAATCTAGCACCGCCGTCGCGGCTTTGGACATTTTCATTTCTGTAAACCGTACAAGGTCAACTTTGTTGTGCCGCGATATATTTTATCATTTTCTACTATTCGGCTGTCAGTGATGGTGTACCTCTATAGCTATTTGTAATAACATGTAATAACGTTTGTAATCGATCAAACAAAAGCGCCATAGCCCATAATACTATGCATACAGTTTATGTTGGAATAATCGCGCGTAATATTCGAATGAAAACCATTTCACAAACCCGTTATCTGGTGATATATTAACAAGTCTGATTACTTTTATTGTGTTTATCGGACCGTGTCACCGTACGTGGAGCAACAATGGTCAATTGTGTGTATGTACACTACAGCGACGGTGAACTTATTATATAGTATAATATTTTTGTATTCTGACATTAGACACTATTGTCGCGGAACAGACTATGACACACTATGACAACAATAATAATACCTACTGATTTTGAAACGTTTTTCACAAAATAGTAATCGAAACGTATTTTTGATATTTTTCAGAACAGTATATTTTTAAGCTCCAGAAAATACACAATACAGTATGTCCGGAGATTATTATTCCCTATTGGGAGTCACATCAAACGCTTCGTTAAACGATATAAAAAAAGCGTAAGCATTATATATTTTTTTTTTTTTTTGAACGAATTTTTCAATGGCGTGTAAACAAATCTCTGCAAAAGATTATATATATTTTGTTTTTTAGTTACCGAAAATTAGCATTAAAATGGCATCCAGACAAAAATCCAGAAAACCAGGAACAAGCGAACAAAATGTTTAAAGAGATTTCTGAAGCCTACGAAGTGTTATCTGATGGTACTATAAACAATTTATAGTTTTATAAATAATCTACCTACCTAATGTACTTATACATTTATTATTGTATTTTATTCTGTGTATGAGATGAGGTCATTAGCTTTTAAAGAAACACTACAAAAAAACTGAACTTGTTTAAAACATAACTTAATGCCGGAATTTTCAACCACTAATAATAATTAAGAGCTAATTGTTTCTCACACAAAAAAAAGTCTGTAATGATGAATAGATTTTAAAAATTGTAAATCACGTATGATTTTACAAACGAAAGTGTAATAATAATATGCGTTAGAGTAAATAGGTTATTCCTGTATATATAAATATATATATATTGTCTATATGTCTAACAGAGGCAAAACGAAAGTTATATGATGAACAGCGTAAAAGAAAATCGTCCGCATCGTCCAGACCATTCTTCTACAACTTCTTTGAAAGCCCGTTTCATCGTTATTTTGGTAGAACCCCTAAATTATAGTTTACGTTGTGTTGATCTAATAATAATATGCCATTCAAAATTTATAACACCTACCAGTTTTAAACCTTACTAAACAAAAAACCCAATACCATTGGAGCTGGAGCATGTAATCAATTAGTAATGGCGCTTTTTTAACGCGCTTAATCATTTTTTTTTTTTTTTTTTTTTTTCATTATCTACCTAATACTAACATTTGTACGATTATTATTGGTTATTATATGTCATTTGTTTAAATTATCAGATAAAAAACGCAAAGTTTATAACCAGTATGGCAAGGATGGTCTGATAAATGGTGGATCTTCAAATCGCCGCAGAAACCATCAACGACACCCTGGTCACTATGATCCTTTTGGCCAAGATTTTGGACCCGGTTTCTTTAGTTTTTCTTTCAGAGACCCTGAAGATGTGTTCAGAGAGTTTTTCAACACGTCGGACATTACAGATCTTTTATTTCCTGGTATAAAATTTGACACATTTTGTTTTGATATAAGTCTACAACCTCTGATAAACTGTTTTATTTCTTTGATTATTTTACTTTTTTTAGGCTCAAGGGCCAATCAAGAAGTGTCTATGATGAATCCATTTGGATTCGGTGGATTTGGAGGCGGTTTTGGTTCTGGATTTGACAATATGTTTTCGATGGCAAATGCTGGGTTCGTAGGTCATGGAGTAGGAGGTAGTGGTGGCAGTATGAAAAGGACATCAATATCCACCCGGTTTGCAAATGGAAAAAAAATTACGACAAAAAAGTATGTAGAAAAATTGGATCATGAAAATTTAAACTTTCTTACTTAATTAATTTAATTATTTTCATAAAAGTAATACATGTTTTTATAAGTTAGTTTTTGTGTTTTTTAGAATTTCTGAAGCGGGTAAAGAAATAGTGGAAACGTACGAGAACGATATGCTCAAATCTAAGACTATCAATGGTGTGGCACAAGCGATTACGTATGGCCGTTAGCTTGATCTCTCTTCTCATCCAATTCTCTACTATAAAAACCATTAATAAGCAGATAATAATAAATTAAATTATGTATCGAATATATATCTAATTATTATAAAGGGAAATTTTATAAGTTTTGAATTAATTATTTTTTTTTTATAATATAAAACATGTTAGAACTTAAATTTTTCTATTCTGAAGTAATACTAGCTGATAATTGTTTAATTATTATTATTTTTTTTTTTTTAATAGCTGAGAAATTGTATTAAGAGAACATAAAACTTAATTTATTTAAAGCACGTAATATTTACAGACTCCACAATTAATAAGACTTACACTATTTTTATGCGCTTTGGTAATTTAATGATTATTATTATTATTACTATTATTATTATTATTATTATTATTATTATTATTATTATTATTATTATTATTATCATTATTATATTACTTAATATTCAATCGGCGAAGAATATTCAAAACTTTACGCCTGATGTCTATGATATTTTAGAATAATATTATAATTATTTAATGTAATTGTTAAAAAAATGAAAAAATAATTGATTTTTCTTTATTCTAGAATAATAGAGGATTTCACCATCATTTATTGTGTTGTCTGAATGAAAAATGAATACGATAACACATTTTGTTTTATGGTGCATCACCATTATTGTACTTATATTATTAATATATAAAAAATATTAAATTTAAAAAAAAAAAAATGCTTATTTAATACTATAATTAAAATCAGTGTGTTTCAACGTCTCATCCAATGGGCTTCCGTCGATTAAATTTCATCGTAAATAGTAAAAACAATATTGAATATGATTGTTATGCTTATATTGTCCGGTTTGAGAAAACTCTAAATATATTGGGGCAAGTTAAACTGGGAAGGAGGGCTTGAGAATCAAAACAGATTCTACATTTAAAAAAAAACTAATTAGACTTTATATTAGAGTTTTAGATTGATAAAAAAATATTCAGTAAGAATAAAAATTCATATGTAATAAAATTTTTATTATTTATTGATTCTCTTGGAATCCATTGAACATTTTACTGATTTTTAAAAGATTTTGATGGTTTACAATAATGATATGATTTCAAACAGAAGACTTCTTTCTATTGTCAATATTAGGTACGGTATCCAGTATTTAATTTAATTTAGTCGGTACTATGAGAATACAATTTTTTTTTTTAGATATTATGTGTATTACCTATTATGAAAACTAAAATATTTTCAAAATCTGTTTCTTTTTTCGTGTCGATTCATTGAGTTAAATTGGGTAAAGACGTGCAATTTTCACAAAAATCCTTATATTACTATTTTTCAGACATTGTAATTTCCATAATACTTAGTTTATGATAAATTTATAACTATAACAAGTAGATATCTATTATAGTTTAAAATAATTGTCGTCGAGTTTTTTGTTTTCGATTAATGTCTATAGGATTTTTTCGACCTCGTATAAACAGGGGTATAAAGTTCAAAAATTCAACACAATATTACCCATATCATAAATCGACGGATCGAATCGGATCGGCCATCGGGAATCGATACGACGCGTCTTTATGGGCGTCGCGAGTGTTACGTATTGCGGTTGGTCGATGTGAACCCAAAGAGAAAAATCGTACTCTACGTGAAAACTCGCGCGTGCGCCCGCAAATGCACCGCAACTCTGTGGGGTTGGCGGCGGTCACCCGGGTGGACGGGGAAAATGCACTTGGCAACGTCGTCGTCACCGTCACCATGTCAAATAATCGATGGCTGCCTGCTGAGTCGCCGGTACCGCAGCAGCAACACACCCTTTGGGTTCGCTGGTCTAATAAACGATGCGCTCTGGCACCCTGCGCCTCCCCCAAAGAAGCCGTAAAATATAAAATCGGGATTTTCGACGAACAATTTATCGTCATGTCAAAATGATAATAAGCATTTGAAACTGTTCGACGCGGTGTTCGTTTCATATTGTAAACGACGACGTTTTGGCAACAACGCCGTTAGGTGCACGGTGTGCGATGCGCGGCGAGTCTATTTCGAGAGTCGCCGCACGCACGTTCGAAACGTCAGGGGGGCGTACGCGCGCGCACGATCTTTTCGACCGAACACCGACGACGATCCTCTCGGGCGGCGCGCGCGCGCAATTACTTTTCGGAAAAACCAGTGCCCGGCGCGTATCGGACAACGGTGTCCGCACTGTACGCCGCCCGGCCGCCGCGTCTAGAGTATGTGATATTGTTTATTATTGTTGTGATCGCGGTAGTGCAGCAGTAGACACCACCGACACACTGTATATGTACCAACAGCGGCTGCGTCCGGTGTCGTAATTTCGTTGCGTTTCCGGACGATCATGTCGTGCGGTGGCGACCGGTGTCGGCGGTCTCGTCGTCGTTAGTCGCGTGTGCCAGTGCCAGTGCGTTCGCGGTCGTCCGCCGTCGTACCAATAATATTATAATAATTATTCGTCACGGGACCGCAATAATAATGGGAAACTATTGTTCGTCCAAACAAAAGGACGGCGGCATCGCTGACGAGTGAGTATACCCGAGTTATAGGCACGCGCCAGCCGAGCGCGAGGCCCTGCGAGCACGGACCGCGGTCGGTACCTCCTAGTTATCAGCTATACCCATTCACGTTTTCTCGGCTTGAGAGTTTACCCGGCACTTTGCCGTCCGCGTATATAGTATTAATTCAACGCGAGCACATTAATGAAACTCCACAGTGCTTGTACGCGATACGAATGTGCTCAGGTGTGAATAACGGTATTATTTGGACAGCTGGTCCAGCGCGCGCCGGTAACGATGACGGTACCTACAGTACGTACCTTTCCCCCTACCGCGTCCGTGCAACGTTTATGGTGCGCCGGGTGGCGGGGAATAACCCCTTTCGGTGCGTAGGGCGAAACGCCGTGGTGACCGCCCCGACTGACGGGCAACGGAAATATTGTAGTCCCGTTCCCGGTTATTGTCGTTCAACAGTAGGGTTCTTTTTTTTTCTAGAACATCACGTGCACACGTACCGGCAAATTTTGGAACGTTTTCGATTGAGGATGGCCATCTCCATTAAAATCCCGCGGCAATAGATAGGTATTTGGGATAACGTATCATTTACGTGTACACGCAAAAACTGAACAAATATCTAATATGTGTTCATCTTGATATGTATCGAAATCAAAATGATTACAACTTCTTCTTCTCGTGAAACGAGACGTGGTCAAATAAAAATCGCATGTATTTTTTGTTCTATGTAGAGTTAGAGTTAGTATTTGTGGCAAAAATTGTTTGTCCCGGATTTGTCTTTTTCATAAACAATTGGTCATCGATGACGGTCAATGGTGACTATGAATACGCGGCTGAGCGACGTCGAAACGACAAAACCCCATCATTCGGGAGCACAAACTCCTGGTTCTGATCTATGGGTTTTCGAAAAATGTGTGTAGATCCCCGTTTTAGGGGGTGGATGTAAACCGGTAGTATCATCATAGCTACTGATACAAATTCCATAGGGAGGGGGTGGTGGTCCAAATTTTTGCTTAATACAGGTACTCTGATATTGTTTACGGTCAAACGTACACGGCCGGTGCACCCTCCCTCCTCTCGTTTCAATCACAGGTACCGATATAGGTGTATAATTATTGCAGTTATTTATTTAATACAAAATATTACATAGATATAACACAATATTGCGTATAATGGGCCCCACTGAGCAAGCTCGTGTATAGCAATTCGGGTCCAGGTGATAATCCCGACAAGGTCTGAATCCGTCGATAAGAATGTCGTCAAAATTTCATCGACTGTCCCTGATTCTCGTATAAATTAGTATTTGCTCGAGTGGTCAGACTCAATGTATCGTGAACGCGTACTCTATGATAAGAAATTAATTCGGTGATATTATCTGTCGGGATTTTGATTGTCGGTACTTTGAACCCATACCATATAATTTATATAACAAGTCCGCGGGGGAGGTGTGCGACCACCCTCCTAAAATCTGCCACTGAACTGCGGGCGGAGATTGTATTGTTCGTAAACAAGTTTTTGACCCGAAAACTTGCTCCAATCGAAAACTTCTTTCGCGAATTATTGTGATCTAAGTCACGAGCAACGATATTTCAGTTAAAACTCGAAATCCGTCAAATCGTGATCCCCCAACAATAAAATTAGTTTTAATGTACTTTATTATAATATTATTGTTAGAACTAGTTGTATACCTGTGTCTGAAATTCATTGGTAAAAACTAAATTTAGTTTTCAGTTTTGACAACTATTGTCGAGTGAAAATTGATTTTCAAAAGTAATTTTTATTTAATCGTTGTGTACAGATATAAACTTAAATATTGCTCTATATAATAAATTATAATATCCTATGTTCCCAACTTTCCACCTACAACTGCGGCAGTATCTGCTCGTTTGGATTTTTAAACAGCAACCTTAATACTTATTAATTCCGTAGAGTTGTTGAAGTTTTAATTGAAATTGAACCTTCGTTCGGTGTTGTTATTTTCAATGAACTCGTAGCGTTGTATACTTGCATTGCGTTGGCGAGTAGTCCCATTTTTGACATTAGCATTTTTACTGCAGAGCCGCTGATCACTTCCTATCTACCTATGTACACGTACAGACGTCTCCGGGATTTTTTCAATGGACGACGAGGTTAAACGTAGTAAAATTATATATATACGTATATATGTCACGGTTAAAGTCGTTATCAATGCTCGAATTTGAAAATTGAAAAAAAAACTCCAATAGAAATTTAAAAAAACAGCGTTCCATCTAAATATTTAACACCAACCCGTAGGGGACTTCGCCCCCACACCCCCTTAATGACATCATATTTTAAAATGAATAATTCCTAACATCAAACATAAATTATTTTTTAACTAATTGGGTTAATATTTTTACACTTTTTATCATCTCAAACTCTCGATTATTTCCTAGTTGTATTGCAATGGTTTGACTAGCATTGATTTATCCATCTTACACTATTTATTAGGTATCGACGCAATTAAACACAACTTAATTATCGAGACAGTTAGGTACATAGATTGACTATATAAAGTTAAGAACAAATTAAGTAAAAAGTAAAACCCTTCAACGAAGAATGAACGCCGGTTTTGTTAATAAATTATAATACAAACCCGGATGGCAGTTAACAGATAAATATTATTACTTGTAAAATCCTATTTATTTTAGTTACCATTGATACAATGATACTTTAATGCGACATTCTATTTATAAATATCCATGGGCAACGTACCTATCAAAAAACTGTTGCGTATCGTAGTAGCGTAGGTACTGTTTGCTGTTGCTTTTCTGTTGGTATTTTGTTGATGACAAAATTAAATTTGTTATAAAACTATTAACAATTTTAATTTTTGATTGAAAAAAACAAATTGTCTAAATTACGAATTGGGTATTTTATGTTTTATAAAATTGAACGTATACACGAAAAAATATTTCTTTGGCTTTTATTAATTGCGTACCCGTGCGTTTTTTTAGAAAAATTTAGTATAGGAACGCTAATCAAAATCAAAAGATAGTTTAGGAGCTGAGTTTCCATGCGCGCCCCCCAATTTGGGCACTGACGTTATATTTATACTTTAACCGATTTTATGCAGTTAGTTTTAATATTTAGTGTAGTTTTCTAATATTTCAAACTTAAAAGTAAGAACATTGCATGTGTTTCTACGTTGGTTTGTTTTCGATATTTCGGTTTTTAAGCCAGATTCGATGATTTTTAAACGTATTCAAAACTCGATTGAAAATTAAAATATCGAAAACAAACCAACGTAAAAACACACCCAATGTTCTAACCTTTAAGTTTGATATTAGGCCAACGCACTCTAATATTAAAACGTAACGACGCAAAATCTGTTTTTATACACAAAAATTGTAAACATATAACGACATTAGCCGTAAGATAATGTATTATATTATACCATTTGATACGGGGAATAGTAAGTTCCTACACGATACCTATCAGGTAAAAAAAATCTGTTCTAGCATAATGGGGAGGGTGCAGCCACTGTTATTGGTGAGAAGTTGAGAAGGTAGTAGAGGGGAAATTTAATGTACACCTGTATGCAACGATAAAACCATTGCTAACGAAAACACGATTCTGAGCGGAGTTCAGTTGATAGTGTTGCTTTGTCAACAATATATAGGTATATGTCATATTATGGTAAAATAATTACACGTGCATCACATATTTTCTTTAATAATATTGTACCTGTTTTTACGTTTTTTGACCATAGAAAAAAAAAATAAACATCATTGTAAAACCAATACATTCCTCGCTCCACTCAGAATCAAAAATACATATGTTAGTTCCTACACGATAAAAAGGTTAAAAACGTACCTTTATTTTTTGTGGAATTCGCTGAGCCTGCGTTTTCTAAAAAGTAATTCAATAATAGTATAATAATAATAATAATAATAATATGATAGTATAGTTTTAGTATTTTTAATATAATCGTGCTCGTTTCAACCGCTATATTTACTTGATAGTATGTGACGATGGCCCAGCGATAAAGATGGCATCTAAATTAAATTTATCAACACTCAAACATATTTTGCGAATTTTCATTAACTAATTAGACTGATACAGAAAACTTGTATTCGGTTTGATAATAATTATAGTATTTATTCACATAATAGGTACTGTACATTGGGTAATTTATCTTAAACTTTTATTAATGCATTTTTTTTTTCAATAGGTCAAACGTGTACTTACAAGTAATAGTAATTCGTTTAATGTGTAATAATATAATATGTTTATTTTTTTAACATGTATACATTCACAAAATTTACCACGATATTTATTTATTTTTTTTTTAAGACATTTTGAAATAAATATAACTCGGGTTGGCGGGAAGAACTAACACACGTAAGTATTTTTTTTTTCGTCGTGTAGGAACTTACATAATATTATGTATTTTTGTTTACCTGATAGGTCTCGTGTATGAGTTTACATTCGCCCTTTTGTACTTGGCCGTGTAAGTATAATGCGAATAGGCAACAATTATTATTAATATGTTAGTAACACATGCGTGTTACAATGCTGAATAGTCTATACGGTTTTCTTTGTATTTTCACACAGCCGACGGAGGTTAAAACACCCCTATATAGGTACGCCACTGCAGGTTGCCCGGTATAATACCACGTGTAAGACGTGTTTTTATACAAGTCGACCGGGACAGTGTACTCGTATGTGATTTACGTGCGCTTCTTTCGCGGGAACGTCTGACGAATATACATTATACACTACGCGTTCCATTGTGCGACAATAATAGACGACTAATTTCGACCGTGTCTCGAAAACAACAATATACAAACCCACCTCGCCTAACCGCTACCGCGGTCGCGGTACACCGAATAATATTGAACACGGACGTCATCCGGACGGGTTTCGGCGGGGCTGTGGGGGCTCGTTATTTACGCGATTCGGTCGACGAGTTGAATGCTTTAGGTAATTTTTGACGGCGACGTACGCACAATACCCGTTTAAACGACCGATTATTAATTATGTGAGTGCGTGCGTGCGTATTCGTTAAGTTAGGTATACGTACCTATTGTACTCGCGAAAACACATAATATACGCGGACCAAAAACGATATATATATTATTATACATTTAATGATAATCGGGTTCAAGACAATAACGGATTATTGCCACGGTGAGGATCCGTGTGCAATTTATTTTTTCTCTCTTCCCCCACCTCAAATGAGTAATCGCAGTCGTTTCCGGATATTTTCCAATGGGGGGGGGGGGAGTTTATATGAAAATAATTTATTGCATGTTGGAGTTGTCCGGCTAATTAAAATGTACCCTTTTCCAGGGGGAGGGAGCGTAGGTATACATTATTTATGAAGCGGGGATAATTTGAATTTAAATTATTTGTAATAAGCTAACACAAACAAAAAATCGCTATACTAGGGTTGGGTTTAGATTTTCATTATTGTCTATTTATTTACTAATTGGGATTTTGGCAGTGGGAGGTGTTAACCCTTTACCTAAGCCCGTGCTCCCTTTCCAACAAGTAACTAATTTCTAAATTTGTCTGAAAAAAGCATCAGTATAAAGTAACGCATATGGTCTTTTCCTTGACGTTTTGCAAAATGTATAAATTGAGTAATACACTTATTTGAACTTGATCGAGTAAAAGTACAAATGTGCAATGAATATTATTTTACAACTCATAAGAAACACATCCGATCCCCACTCCACCGTTTGTTTTTATATTAGCAAAAATCTTGAGAAATACTTTACCTATTTTGATGAAATATTTTTTGTTGTTCGATTCCCCTTATTATGTTCCGACGGTTATAGGATATTATTTGTATACCTGAAAGTGGGGAGGGATAGTAGTCCGTGAAATAGAGTAGAGAGAGGGAATATACGTGGTTAATGGGTGTTTAATACAAATTGAGTTATAGAATTAACGATTAGGTAGATATTATAGTAAGGTATACAGTGTATACTATACACATATTATTAACACCGGTGAGCAACTCTGGCAACTATAACTATTTTAGATTTGAACCTAAGAATAAAAAAAATAACGGAAACAAGTCAAATTGTGAAAAATTCAACACCGTAGTGACGGAGCTGAACACGCTCGCGGGTTTTTTCTGTTTTCGGAGTAATATAAACGAGTGCCAAACACCCGAATAGGTAGATAACTGATAAGACTAATAGTATAATTTATTCGCCTGTAAACGGTGTATACATTATATTTATGCATATTAAATTAATACGATGACCTATAGTGTATAATGTATACGTACAGTTTTACAGTTTGAGCATAGTTTTCCCGGTCGATTTACCCGAGCTGTCTTAGGGTCAGGATTTTTATTATTATAATATATTCTTCGGGAAATCGGTACTTGTTTCGATAAAGTCGTATAAAACGGTTTTCCGGACTGTTGTACACCGCAATAACAATACGGTGTATTGTCATATGAGCTACCTCGCCGTCGCGTTCCTCAAATAAATGTCCGAATCGGCGAATTCACATCACGACGCCTCGATAAAAAAAAAAAAAAAAGTTTTTACAGTCAGTTTCAAAGGCATAAAAAACATTTAAAATATTATATTGTTCAATTAAGTTTTACCCGTCTATAATAGCGGCACGTGTCCTGTCGTTAGCAGTAGTCATTTATCGTGTTACAAAATTGATTATTATTCATTTACTATATGCGTTTTACGGGGATTAATTAATTATTGTGTTCAAGTGTCCTACACTCGCACATAATAATTATTAGGGAGATAGTCCCTATTTTTTTAAATATATATATATATTTTTTTTTTTTGTTAACAAACCACGTACCTACCGCTTAAATTTCCTGCAAATGGGCCTATCCATTATTATCTGGTATAAACCCTGTAATACCCATGGGGGGGGGGGTGAGGACGGAGTATTTCTTATATACAATAATAATATTTAAATATTATAACAATAAATTAGATTATTAGTAATAGATTAGAATAATATTTTATTTATTATATTTGTATGTTGAAATAAAACAATATAATACATTTTGTGAATGGTTTTTATTTTGGACTCCGCCCTGAAATTTAACCGATGGGTGCCCATGCCTACTATAATATGATATATATTATTTATATGGTGATTATTTTTGGTGTATGTAGTCGTTGTAGTTTATAATGATGTTATGATATGATTAAAATAAAAAAAAAAAAAAAAAAAAAAAAAAAAAAAAAAAAAAACTATAGAAATACAACTGTAACACAGACTGGAAAAAAAAGGGTTGCTGAAGAGGGAAAATGATATTCGATTTTCAATCAACACGAAAAATGTAAAAATTGTGTCACTTATAATATTATAGTGCACGGAGGACTAAAAAATTATGATTTTATTTTCCTACGATTTATGAAATTATAATTTCTATAAATAACGAACGAATTGCCCGAAACGGGCGTAGGTGTCTCTATACGCTGCTAACGTCATTGGGTAATAATAATATGTGTCATAATAATATACAGGGTGATTATTTTAATATAGAGTATCGAGTCGTTATCTTACGAAAGCACTGTTACCTTTTATCGAAATTTATTTTTCGGCTGAAAATTTAAAATAAAAATAAGCCGGGATAAATTGACGAGGGTAGAGGGAACGGGAACTATAATTATTATTTGTTTAGCAGGTCACCTCTCTCTGTGAAAATAGCAAACTTAAAATTTGGAGGAAGATAAAGACATCACGTACTATTTATACTCCATCAGCTTCTCTTGTCCTTCTGCATATCCCATTAATTTTCCTATCCACCACCATACGGTCTACTACCCTACATATATTCCTTCATAGTAGTGTATTCAGGGGAAAAGTTGTTTCATCCCCCTTATGTTATTTTCTTATGTCAGTTTTAAAATACAAAATAATTATATAAATTATTTGGCTTTGAAAATTTGAGGCAGTAATTATCTGCACTCAAGATCTTTCAAGTTATGTTAATTTTATTCATAAAGAATAGCTGTGCGTCTGGAGATTTTAATGTAAATATAAGGAAACGAACCAGATTCGGCTATTGATATTTTGTTTAAATGTTTTATACTAAATATATAATAATTGTAATCAACTTTAAATGTATATTATCAATACTGAAGCGATTAAAAAACCTGTCTACGGTCAACCGTGTTAGAAGACCTGAATAAATGGGTTAGATTTGATCAACATCATCAAAAAATAACGTCAAAAAGCATTCATAATACGATTGCGTACATAATAGAACATACAATTTAGGTAAAATATATCTTCTTTTGCCCGTTAAAATGACTGCAATGTTGCCAGATTAGGCATAATTTAGCACGGAACTGAATACTGAAAATAAAAATGGTAATATTTTTAAACATCGATTTTATAAATCTATTCTGTTTAGTTAAGGTTAAACCATTTATCAATAATTAATAACCGATATGATACTGTAACGAATATAACTGTATACGGCTCTCAAAGACTCTCAAACTTGGAAATCCACACATTTATTATAAATTGTATGGTGGATTAAATTAAGTTTTCATTTATCTTACATAGATTTTCTTCAAATTGTACATAATTAATAGATAATTTGATTAATTAATACACATTTAATAATAATAAATATTATTAGGAATTTACTTTATGGGATAAGCGTTGACCATTATGAAAACGACAACCAATTAATGTAACTCCTGGAAATACATTGATAGCTGCTTCGTGTGCGCCTTTCTCAAAATCCAAGTGTAATTTTTGTACATTTAAAGACATATACAGTTACATTTAAAGTTACTTATAGGAATTTTTATCATTTATGTTTAAAAGTGGGTTCCGTATTTCTCGGTTTAGGTATAAAAAAAACCCTGTAACGCACCTGGTATTTTTCCTCCTGGTTTCCATTCTAGTCCAACTTTCATTATATTATTTGACCATACGTGATTAGCCAGCTCATTCTTCTTCCTGTAAGTGTCAAGATTAATATGTCCTCTTCTCTGAACAGCTCTGTACTATCGACATTCGTTTTTTATTTCATATTCACTTGCATTTTGTTCATTTTTTTTTTGTTGAAATTTAATATACACTGAAAAAATTTTCTTTCCAGAATCGCTTATCTTCTCTCTTTCTTTTTTGAGGTTAATCACGGTTCACATTATGTGTATATAAAATCACTGGTCTAAATAAAACTTTGTGCTGTAAATAATATACAATTTAATATTTTGAAAAAATGTATAATAAATACAAAAAAAAGAAAAATGTATACATTGTAGCGCAGAGACATACTAATTAATAAAATAAAAATAAAATTATTAGTTGAAATACTAATTATTCAAAACAAAATTACATATATTAAAAATAGTGAATAAAAAAAAAGTTATTTCAAGTATCAGATCTTCAAATATATTTTGTATGTAAGTACCTATACCTATTTACCTTCATTTAACATGTTTATAGTACCCCCCTTTTATATATTGAATAATCATGGGTGTGTCATTCATATCTCTTTTAGTGACTTTTTCTTTGGTTATGAATTCCGTTGAAGTTGTGATACGTATAGTAGCGGTTTTGATAAAACATTAAGAGGAGGATGATTTTAAATTTGTTGGGCTCATATTGACCATATTGACATATATTAATTAATGATACAAATTTGTTTATGATCCTATCAAAAATTATACATAACTTTCATTTTAGATTCTGAGTGGAGCAAAGAAGCTTATAGTTTTACAACTGTTTTATCCTTGGACAACTTTTCTACCAGCAATTTTGCTCTAAAATTGATAGAACTTTTTCTGAAAGAAGATCTGACTGGGGAGGTACTTTAGAAAGGTTAATTTTTTAATTTTCCCAGCAAATGTGAAAAACCGGGAAAAACGGAAAATTGGTACAATATTAAACAAATATTATTAAAGAAATTATATAATGCCTAGCTATTTAATTGTTTTACCATAATATGACATATTTTAGACAAAGCGTCACTATCAACTGAACTCCGTTCAGAATTGCTTTTTCGTTAGCAATGATTTATCGTTGTTTACGTACAAAACATACCTAACAGTTGACAAAAAAGAGGTCTAGGAATGACGATCGCCCCCTCCCCCCTGAAAACCGCCATTGAATACGTATATAATGTATATAATGATTTTAAAACAAATAAGGTACCTACGGCTTAAATTATTATTACGGGTTTGCCGTCCCGCGTGAAAAACTCGCGGCATTTTGTGGACAATGTCGTTAGATGCCAACTTTCGGAAAACGAACTGACAAAATCCACTTTATGTTGATGATGATATTTTTGGATCTGGCACGTGTTCTATGAAGACGAGTTATAATATTTTATTATAATTATATTATTATTATTATCATCATATGCTTGTCGTCACCCGAGCCAAAAGTGGTCGTCGTATTTAAATGCTTACTGCGCACGTGCGGTCCGTCTGAATTTGTATCCGATATAATAACTAACGGTTATGTAGGTAGTAAAATTAAACGCTATATATTATAATGTTATGTTTTTCTGCTCGCAGGTATTTACGAAAGACCCGGTACAAAAAAAACGAACGGAAAGCTGACAAGGCTACCAACGTGATCGCGGTTGCCAAAAAGGGAAAACACAGGGATGTTGCGGCGATAGTAGACTCAACGGCGGTGGGAACGTCGACGCCCATCATCAACAACAAAACGTACAATAATAACTGTCGTGGGACCAGCAATTTTATAATTCCCACTATCGAAGAAACGCTCGTACCGTCGACCGACAATGGCCCTTTGAACGAACCCCTAGAACCGAACAACGTCTCCTCCTCTTCCACCGTCGCCTCAGGTATATTATTATAAGGGTATGATGGTGGAAAATGGAAATCCGCCGTACTTGCCAAAGTTCGAGAATCCAAAATTTGAGTTTTAAGTTTCAAATTTTAAAACTATGATTTCGCATTTTTCTTAATTAGATATCTTTGGTAAAAAGATTTTTAATAAATAAATAAATAAAACATTTTTTTTAATAAATCGAATTTATTAATTATACAATATTCAATAACTAAAATAGAAATTAAAAAAAAAAAAACAAAAACTAATAAATTGTTTTACAGATTAAAAAAAAAAAAAAAATCAGAAAGCCAAATGTAAAATCTGATGTCCATATTACGAACTTTCTGATATTTTAAATTCTGAATATAGCGAAGAATGTATTAGTTTTACAAAGATGTTTATTTTTTTTTTTTATGTAAACTGTTTTTATATCAAAAAGATTACTCTGGTGTATATGATGTAGACTCTTTTTTGAAAGGAAATTTTTTTGTGGTGGTACTTGAAGGGGCAGGTAATTTTTTGGTTTTCCCGGCAATTTTTCTAATAAAAGAGAAAAAGTGAGAAAAACGGGAAAATGTACATAATATAATAATAAAATATTATGATTTTTTTTTCTGTGGATAACTTTTCTACCAGCAATTTTTATCTGATTTACAATGATTTTTTCTGAAACAAAATCTGACTGAGAAGTTTATTTTTCGATTTTCTCAAGAGTTTTTCCAGTGATTGTGAAAAATCGGGAAAAACATGGGAAGACCGAGAAAAATGTAGAAAAGACGGGAAAATCGGTAGAACAAATATTTTTAAAGAAAATATATAATGCCTATTTAATTATTTTACCATATTATGACATATATACATATTGTAGACTAAGCATCACTATCAACTGAACTCCGTTTAGAATCGCTTTTAGTAAGCAATGGTTTATAGTTGCTTACAGATATAAATTAATTTCCCCTCTATATCCCACTTTCCTAAATTTTCACCAACAACTGTGACCGACAAAACTGTTTATCTTTTTAGTCATACTTTTGTGACAGGACTTCATTTTATGATAACCAAAATAAATTAGTGGAATAATTCTATTACTGTTTTATTTTTTGTACTTATCATTTTATTTTATTACCATTGTAAAATGTAATTGTTGAGCTATCATAGTTGACTAATAAAAATAATAATAAAAAAAAAAAATAGTGGAAAACGAAAATCGCTTTTTATTTGTTTAATGGATAAAGAAATAAGAATTTTGGTTTAAAATATTGTGTTTTAAATTTAAAATTATAAATCCGGTGTACAGATTGCAGTAATCCTAATTAATCTATATAGGAAAGACCATTCGTTGCGCTTTCCATTGCCCATACACGCATTTATAGTAAAAGATTTTCGATATATTTGATGTTTTTAACTCATCATGATTTTAATTCTCGTGCGTTTTTTTTTTGTCGTACCAAAAATATTACGAGTATGTGACGCCCACCTCTTTGAAACATTTCTCTGTGCGTCACTGTTAAAACATTTATTATTATCCGTCAGATAAGAAATATTCGCGGCTGTTTGCGTCTCTGTAAATTTCGCCAATTTTCTCAATAATATACCAAAGACAAAAAATATATGAGTAGGCGATTTTGTGCAATATCCATTATTTCAAGAACTGAACTATAAACTACTTTTCATCAATATTGCGAAGACAAATAATTTATTCCATAATAATAAATTTTGTCAGATTCATCTTTCTATTATTATATTATCATTTTAGTGAAAAAATATTTAAATTTTGAGCTTTGATACTATATTTATTGAATATTTTAAAGTGATCTTTAAATTAAATATATTTAGGTTTTTAATTTTGAGCTTTTATCAAAAAAAATTGCAACTTTGGTAACGATTTAAAATTATAATTATTAAATCGTTGTTCTGATACACTCTTTATATTATACTGATATACTGACTGCAGAAACTAAAACTCTAATCAACAAATATCCTAATTAGCGTATTGTAAAATGCTAGTCTTGCAGTCTCCATCATTGTTATCCCTTTATTCTCTTTATTCTCTTTAATCTTATTCTCATCCTCCTATATACATCTCCCTACATCCATAACCATTTCTTCATCTGCTCCACATCGTCTTATACCTCCTAAATAATAACCGCTAACCAATTTTTCTTCCATTTACACTTAACCCTTTTACTCCTTGAATATTGTCATTTCTCTTTCTCTTGCCATGTACTTTGAACTGTTTAAATCTATTCCTCTCATTTGTCATTTTTCTTGTGACACTCGCTATACTTATAGACTGTTTTTTATGTATTTATATATTTCTTTATTTTAGATCATATTTTGAATTTATTTGTGTCGGTGTGTTTTTTTCGTTTTTCAGTGAATAGCGCCCCGGAAAAGTGTTTCACGTTTACGCTGCCGGACGGACTGAAAAGCATATCGGCAGAGACAAAACAATTAATACTCGGCGTTTTTGAGCCGACCGCCAATCTAAAAACCAACAAAATCGTCATTTATATCTGTGTACCGAACAATAAAGGCAAGAAGCGTTGAGATAGTCATAAAATAATTTTCAAAAATAAGGGAACGGGTAAAATTATAATATAAACGTACCTAATAGTATATGTGTAAGTAGGTAGATAATAATTTCCCTAGGTACAATATAATTAGTTAAAAAAATATATGTGTATAATTTATACACAATACAAACCCATTCGTTATCACACTAGGGGAAACCATGCTATCTCCTATGATCAGTCTTACGTAGCATGTTCACGTGTCCTCTTATCCACAAAATTTCGTGTGTCCCAACGCGGCATAGAAAGACATTTAACATTGTGTATCAAAGTGTCTAGCGTCTTAACATAATTTAGTTATTTATAACAGTAGTTAATAATGTATACATATTCGTGTTATGTTTATTTATTACATTTCGTGTTACTATATCTATTCTTTAACCTATATGTCTTTCATATACTCTGTCGAGAAAGCATTGTAAAAGTCTACTTGAATGAAGTTGCGGGTAATACAGTTAGAAATAAATAAATATAAGAGTCAAATTATGATAGATAACTATTAGATAATACTATAAAATAACCAACTTCACTTCATATACTATCCTCGTGTTAATTCGTGTTGTTTGGATGTAGGATTTCTGAACGAAAGACGCTGCCTGTACGAAAACGTGCTTTCGACGGTCCGGTCGAAATGTGCGCAAATCTGTTACGAACTGCATATAGTTGACCTGTACTATGACCACCAGTTCCAGCAAGAGTGCAGATTGTCGGATAAAGCGGTCCGATTAGCAGAACTCCAACGACAGGATCAGATCGGTTATGTGGTACCCGTCGTATTCGTGGACGACTCACTAGGTCCTCCAGTCCTGCCGCAGGTGATGACCAGGCAAGACTATGACTTGGCCAGATCCAAAACCCCGGAAGCTGGCAAACTGATCGAAAAATGGTACATGCTTGACTCACAAAAGAATCACTACGAACTCCGGAACGAGATGATGTTTGAGACACAGGTACTTTTTTGTCATTTTACTTTCGTTTAACATTCTAAAGAACATAAATTACTTTTAAGTCTACTATCACCGCAACAATCGAATCTTAAAATTTCTTTGTTTTCTGCCCTCTCCACTCTAAATCAACCTAAGACATTTCTTCAATTTGTACATATATCGTAATCAAAGTCAACCTCTAGGTCGCTTTGAGTTTAGTCTTCATCACGTTATTATACTATCCACATGATGTATATACCACATGTATAACCAGAATTTTGTAAAGTATTGTCTTCATTTTTTTAACGAAATCTTGAAACTCCAATAGTGTTAATGATTTGATAAGATGTACCTCCTCCTGTATCACATCAATTTAAGCTTCTATATTAATTTTATTTTCCAATTGGAGCACTAAATGTGAACAGCTATGTACAGTGTAGTCGATGCATACATTTCTATGGTTTGTACTATAGTTATCATTATGGTGTTGTTTATTTGTAGGAATCCGACGAAAAACATTGGCATGACGAAAAAGTTCAATTGCAACTTGCACTGATGAAGGTGTCGGACTCGAAATCATTGCAGAGTATTTATGCAGAACAGATATTTGTACAGGTATAATTTGCACATATTATTTCGTATATTAAAATAATATAAACCGTTTATTTTAATGGGTGCAGGAAATTTATAACGAAATTGTGCTGCATGTCGAATTGGCTAAAAGGTCGATCTGGATAATGAAAAATTATGAGGAGAATTCCGAGAAAAAGTGCAAGAACACCGCGGCCGAATCCAAAAAGAGACTCGAACAATTAAGTAAACATTTAAAGGTTAGTTTTAAATACTTTCATTATTATCGTTATTCATATGTGCCTGTATTTTAATACAGAATGAATTGCCAGAAACGAATATTATATTTTTTGAGAAAAATGATGATGCGAATGAGTGTACGAAAAAAATCGGATCCATAATAACATCAATGATCGAGTCTGTTGAAAAAGAGAGGGTGATTATTATATCCATTATATAAAAGTCTAATGCAAATAATACCTAATTGTTTTTGACATTGTGTGCGTGCATATGATCTTCCTATTTGCCTTTATCACACATATTAAGTAGCATCAGCTACCCTTACTTTGAACCTTCACATCGCCCAATCCAGTGCCATTTCTTCATATCTACCCTAACTCCTATTAACCTCTATATCCACTTTTCATCTGGCATACCTTGTCTTCTGCTTCCATATCTAGTTGACTTGAATCACCTAACTTCTTGACTATCTCGTCGTTTCTCCTCTCTACCATACGATTATCATACAATCTAAATATGTCCATCTTCATACATTTACCTGTTCAACATTCTCATTTCTGCTACTTGCAATTTTATTATATTTCAATTATCTTAATCAATGTTCAATGGCTCATATATTCATGGTTGCCTCACAAAGTCACAACTATTATTTATATATACACATAGGAAAAACAAGAGCCTACATACGGTGTGGACACGGTACTGTTGGAAGAGCTGCGTTTACAGTCGTGGTTTGCGCATAACACAGCAAAACAATCTGTTCGCAGGGACGAAGCCATGGAACGAGCCAAAAAGTACGTATTACTCATACTTATAGGTCATAAATACTCTAATCTCTTTTTTGTATTCTTACACTCTGCGTGTATTGAAGGGTTTATTATATACCGTTGTTGAAATATCTAATTTTTTTTTGTTATGTGTTGCTCGCAGGTACATGGTAAACGGGTGCGCGAGGTACCCGTTAATATTGCATGGCTGTCCTGGATCGGGCAAAACTACTGTAATGGCCGCCCTTGAAAAACAATGTCGTCTGTGGAACCAAGATGCCCTTGTTGTGGCAAGATTTGCTGACGTGTCCGCTTACAGTTCATCACTGGAACAGACACTCAATTCGTTGGCCGCCCAGTTGGATCTAGTGGACACGGGCAAGTCAACTTGGTTCAAACACGTGAGTCAACGTTATTTTTAACGAGTATTTTGGGTTTATCTCAGTATTACTCAGATTATCTTCATCGTTTGTAGGACGTAAAGTCTTATTCTGAACAAATCAAACGCATGTTGAGTTCAATTGGAGCGAAACGGTCTGTGACGCTGTTGGTCGATGGAATCGATAGAGTAACTATATTTTACTATACATTTACACTAAAATATACTATTAAAAAGATATAAGGGCATGTAGACTAGATTACGGATTATCATAACCATAGAACCGGTTTTTCTAAAAAAAAAACGAAAAAATGAATTGCCCTGTTGCATTGGAACAGATCACTTATATTCGTAATAGAGTCATGCAAGACAGATACAGTGTTATAAGTGATAGGCAATACAATAGAAATACTATATTTGTTCTCGCAAATTTGCGAGTGGCAAACGTTTCAAAGTTTGATAACAAAGAAATTCAGTGTGTCCGTTTGGAAAAATGACGTTGTAAACGTTAGCAAACTTCGCTAATTCCGACAGGCGACGTTTACAATATTTAAACTCGATTCACTCTTGTACGGCACAAAAAAGTCGTCCAGTTTACATCGTATGACCAAAAAACAATGACAGACACCGCTCTTAGCTCAGTAGCGGTCAAATGATTTTGTCATGGAGATCATAAGGATAATTTTTAAAAACTATTATTATTTACCTACACAATTTTTTTAACCGATATTAGTTTGATTATAATTTGTGTTTTTATCGGTCGGTTTTCTTTGTAGTTTAATTTTTTCCGGGGTAAGTTATACAGTCAAAATTTTCCAAAAAAATGTTTTTCTTACCTATCACTTAAAAAAATGAATAGATGCACATTTTGAATTTCGTAATTAAGTTGTTTTTTTAATTAATCCGATATAGCTATACTATATATATTAGTTTATTTTTTAATTGTATTTTATAGATACATATAAAGATATGTATAATTAAATTAAATTGATTCCGAGTTACATCCACAGACCGATAAAACATTCTTTACTAGAAAGTCTTGTTGTATCGTGTCTGAACGATGCTGTCCGCATCAGTGTGTGTAACCGTATACAATTGTATAGATATAATATTTCGTCGTTCCTTGCCGTGTTATATCCTACCAGTATGAATCGGGCTTTATTCAATAATATGCTTGTAACAAAAACTAAGGTTAATATCAGATATCCATTACCGGTAGGCCGGTAGAGAGTTTTCGGTTCTTATTTTTATTGCATTTTGTGTGTCCCTCTTTCGTCGCAGTTCAAGAACGAAGACGTCAGTTGGATATCTCAATTTTTGAATAATAACGTCAAAGTCATAGTGTCAGTTACCGAACCTTCAATACACTTCAATAAGTTGCGGCAAAACATCAAGTCAGCCGATTCGTACATACGGGTTCGTATATTTTATTAGGTATATTAAGCGTCTTTGTTTACACTGCGGTTACATTAATTGGTATCATACAGATCTCGAATATGACGGACGAACAGATCAATTCTATGTTGGTGTCGTCGATCGTTCGGTCGATAGCCGGGGAAACGATTAATAACGATGGAAGTGCCAAGACGCCGTTTGAACTTCACGTGAGAGCACTGTTTTCGAAAATCCGAAACTTGAAGCAATCGCCTCCACCTCAACCACAATCCCCGGAGAACTGGATAGAATCTATTTTTGACTGCGTCGAAATGATTTTGGGCAAAGACAAGGTTAGTAGCATACGCGGATCTATATAATAATTCAGACTCGTAATATACAGTCTCTAAGTAGTAGAATGAACTTTCCAAAACTCTAGATGTATTTTGTACTACGAGTTTATGTATGTATTTTATTTTACTTTTTCACAAACTAATTTTTGTATTTTCCAAGTGGTTTTCATAAATGAATTAGTAGAAACACCGTTTTATTCACGTCGGTTATCTCACTTTGGATTTTTCTACTTCTCCTTTACCTTGACCCCAACTATTTGGGGTCACCCACTCTCGGTCTAAACTTCCGCTTGACCTGATCTCCTACCTCATATACACCGACTGTCTTATCATTTTCAATCGTATCTAACCACCTTTTTTTTAGTCTTCTTCTCCACTTCTTTTCTCCTACGTTTATTTTTATTAAAATTCCTACTGCTTCAGATCCCTCTCTCCCCGTGACATACCGAAAATATCTCAACTTCAGATTAACTTTGAATTGTTGGGAATTAATATGCAACCATTAAAAGAGTACCTATAGTTAGTGAATTTGCATTCCAATATTCATCTAATATTATTATCAGTGACGTATTTATGTGGGACGGGGTACTAGAGGCCCGTGACCCAACAACAATAAGATACAGTAGCAATAAGATTTGTGCTTTTGAATACCTTATACCTTAACCTCAAACCTATTTTTTATTATATACGATTGAATATTTTATTTTATTTGTGCCCTCCCCCTAAATTATTCATTTCTTAAAATGCCCCTGATTATCACTACGTATATAGTATATGTAAATTGTATACGCGTATATGTAGTAAATGATTTTATTCTGTATTGTTTATAGGTTTCCATCGCGATCAATTATATGTGCGCCACTCAATTCGGACTACTTGACTCGGAGGCCGTTGAATTATTGTCATCGGAGAAAGAATTTCACAGCCCCGACCAAATAGGAACCAGTATGTTAGAGATCTATATACCTATATATTATCTGGGCGGATATAGGATTTTTTTTTTAGGGGCCCAAAATTGTTTATTTTAATTTTTAACAACTAACACTAAATATAAAATATAGGTAAGATTACAATCAAGTATCAACATTATCGACTATCGTAATAATTGGTCTAACCTCAATTTGAACCACGATTTATAATCATTATTAACTTATGTACAAATATAACTGTCAAGGGGAGCCCAGGCCCTCCACCTCCCCTTGAACCCGCCACTGTAAATTTTATACTAAAGAAAAGCCTCTTTTAAATACTGAATCTAACAATAAATCATATTGAATAGATATATGATTCTGAGTATTTTAAGTTGTTTACCAAAATTAAAGTAATTTTGTTTGATTGTGTTACGAATGGAACACAGAAATTAATAAGAAAAATAAAAATTTCAGATATCTGCATGATTTTCTTCCAAATCATCAGTGTATCTTCATTTTGTTCTCAATTGTTTTTAATTTTTAGAAAAATAATTTTTGACTTAACAAACTGTTGGATACTGAATACCGCTATGTTAATATGTATAGTACTTTAATAAACGAATTATTGTTCAATATCAGTTTTTCGTATAATTTCAGTGACATCGTCAGCCAGTATATTCTGGGCGACAATCAACGAGCTGCTCTCCTCGTTTCTTTTCTGGTTCAAAACGGATCGGTATGCAACGGTCCGGTGGAAAAACGCTGCGGTTGCCGAAGCGGCTAGCCAACGTTACTGCACCACGTCTGCTCAACGTTTTAAAACCAAAATTCTCTCGTATCACGAGGACCAGGTAATATTCAACGACCGCAAATACATTTTAGTCATTATTTTCACGCGTGTTTTTCTGCAGGTAATCACGGCCAGCAACCACACCAAGAGAAGCTTGCCGAAACGTAGACAAATGGACGAGTGCGTTCACCTGCATACGGACCGGGCCAAAGTGGTCAAAGAACATTTCGGCAACCTAGACTGGCTCCTAGACAAATTGAACAACGGATCAGTGCTTCAAGTACGTCGTGGCCCGTGGTTGAATTGTGGTTATTACCGCTATTACATGCGCGTATATTATAATAATCTAGTGGTGTTCGTTGAATGCTGTAGTTATTGGATGAGCTGTCCGCGTACGAACAAGATCCCGAGGCGGTTTTCCTCAAAGATTTCCTAAAGGCCGCAACTCCGGCCTTGGTGAACAACGGTAATCAGCTGTATTCGCAGATGTCGCTGTACCCGCCGACGGCCGAACGGTACCGCGTTCTTATCGACGCACCGCCATTCCAAACGCTGATACCATTGGTACCGCAGGTGCCTCCCGCCGAAGTGGCTGTGCCGGTGGAAGCGCCGTGGAAATTCGACGTGGTTAAGCGGTTGAACGACGATTCCAATTACGTTATTACCGTGAGCACTGAACGTAAAGAGATTAGCGTGTGGAACGTAAAAACGTGAGTGCCTCAGCATAGGGTTAGGTTAAGTTGGCTTTTGTTAACTAAATCAATTAATGAAGAACACGTTATAAATCCTGAGTGGAGCGAGGATAGGTTTTTGTGTGTGGGCTTACCCATTATGTTGCGCAGTATTTTGTAATTCCTAACATTTTCATGTATATATTTTTTCGATTCCGTATCTTCGGTTCAGTTGCACGAGAGTCCGGACTCTGCGGGGGATCGTCCATCCGACTGCGTTAAAGCTGATCGACAACCAACGTTGCATAGTGTTGTGCGAACGGAAATTGACCGTCATCAACTTGGCCACCGGCAAGGTGATCAGCAAACTTAAAGGTGGGGCTGGCTCCGCGTTGCGTACACGCAGTCCATCATTCACGGCCTTCTTCGTTTTTCAGGTGTTATGAACCAAAACATGCCATACTTCGGGTTACACAGCCCCACGAAACTTGTGGCGCTGGCTAGGAGCCGGATGCACGTGAACCTGATTGACATTGAAACGGGCACGATCGAAGCGTATTTCAAAGCGGGCGAAGACAGGTTTTTGAACTCGCTACTGGTGTCTGGAAACGGAAGGTATATTTTCTGTTAGCTTTCACAGCTCACGTACGGCCTCGGTTGCCGCTTACACGCTTCTCCGCCGGTATCGATCTCCGCTTTCGTAAATTTCCCCGTTTTCCCCCAATAATTTCGAAAACCCATTGGATAATCAAAAAATGACCACCCCGTTGAACCAACGAGGGAAAATCATCATTTAAAAAAGGTGCTGTGGAAAAGTTGTGCATAGACACAAAAAATAAAATATACCTGATGATAAATTTTTAATTCGAAACCAGTCGTATATCGCCAATTATCATACTACTCCAGGCGACCGCATCCGTTCATTCGTTTATTTTTCATTTCTATACATACATTTTGCATTTATATATTTATTCAATATATTTGTTGTTTTTTTTTTTTTCTTTATACATTATTGTATTCAGCAATTTACTCTTAACCGCTTTATACGCTATATGGTTTCGATTTATCCGAAACAATTACCGTGTGATTAATTCATGCAGGGTGATGGTGTGCGGCGACGAAACGCAAAAGCCATTCCCCCTTCTCGTGTGGAACCTGACGTCCAGACAGCTCATGTATGACCTGCGCATACCGTTTCACGAGTTCGTCACCCAATATTCGGCCATTACGTATGAAGGCCACTATGTGTGTTGCGTCGCACAGGTAAGTGATCGATTTCGGACGCCGGTTATACGGGGTGCGCCGTCAGACTTTTAAACACCGCCAAACGCATCCAGTCGTAGCCTAACCACTGATTTATACATTATGCACGGTCACTCGTGTTTTTCCCGCTGTGCAGGAGGTCGACGAGCCCGGACCCAACTTTATCGTTGTGTATGACCTGCAGTCGGGCACGCTGTTCAAGAAATGGAAGCCCGGCGTTAACTGCGTGGCGCTGGACATATCTTCCAAGGACGGTTGCGTGCTCAGCGGCCACGAGAACGGTCAAATATGCATCTGGGACCTGACCACGGGAAACTGCCGGTGGACGCTGGGCGGCCACGTGGCTCCCGTCACCAGTCTTCGGTTGGACCCGGGTGGCGGGTCGTTCGTGTCGCTGGACACACACACCCGGGACCGCACCATCAAACTCTGGAACGTCGACACCGGTAAATTATTGCTTCCCACACTGATTTAGGGCAAATCATCGTTTCATCGTGATACCAGTTGATCGGAAGACATTTCCCCGCGTGTGACACTTCATCGCGTGTGCCGCATTCAGTATTCAGACTGTACACTTTTTAACACGTGTTTTTTTATTTTCTTCAAAATACATTCAATTTCCTTTTTTCTTCAATAATTGACGTACCTAATATTCCACCTTTGTTTTCGGAATAATTGTGTGCTCAGGGCTTATGAGTCTCCCTTTCTTAATAACTTCCGAGATATTACTTTACCCGTATGCATTTTTCTAGTACTCAGTTTTTTCTTAGTCCTCACGTCCCATGATTACGTTATCTAATGTCAGCTCAAACATATTTCACCGATTTCGTCTTCCCTTGCAAACATTCAATATTTATTTTTGCCCGATTTCTTTCGATTATTATCTACTGATATTTTGTGTGCTAACTGGTCCTTATTTATTTTTGGCAGGACAACTCATCTCGGAGTTCACGCCGGCCAATCCGATAACGGCTTTCGAAATACTGCCGGGCGGCCAGTACGTGGTGGTCGCATCTTCGGATTCCACGCACCCAACCATCCTCCATCTGCGCGGAGGCCCCGCCTGTCGGCTGACTGCCACCTCCCCCGACTCAGCGCAGACCACCACCGCCACCACCGGACCGTACGGTGACGAGATAACGGCACTGGTGGTGGACTTGTCGGAGGACTTCCGGGACGATGTGTCCGCCGGCCCTAGATGACAGCCGCCGTGGGACGAACGCAGATGCACCGTTGCCGGGCGTGGAGGGGTGTTGATGGTAGGGATCGGGAGTGTTGATGTCGAAACGGCAAGAGGTGTGGGAATCGTCGGTGCCCTCGAGATGTTTCACAGTTTTCGTATTTTCCGGCAGTGGCGGCGTTTACACTGTTATGTTGTTGATGACATCATGACGTCAACCAGCGTCCCCTCTATCCTCCGCAGCCACCGAACTTCTCTGTTGTATACAATATGCTTTTTGTTCGTATAACTTACATCGTCACCCTCTTTGACTGCTGTGCATTATCATGCAGGTCCGGTTAGGTTAGAACCACGAGGTTTGTAAACCTACGTATAATCACATCGTGGTTCGGCCGCCCAAAAATTGTCATAGTGGCGGCGGTGGAACCGATAATAAGTTTTCCATTTTTACTATTGGTGAAATCACTCTACTGCTGAGTTTAAGTCATGTTCCAAAAAATACCGATTGACTATATAGATTCTTAAGTCTTTTTCGAGGGGAGGGAGTGTGAACCTTTTCTTTCCGATTAGTCATTCTGAATAATGTCCGTTTTCGGCTACATCAATATATTTTTGACTATCTACCGTTACCCACATTGTAAAAAACAATTTCTTTTTTTATCACTCTTACAGAGATTATTTATTATTAAAATTACCATTCGTTTTTTTAAATAAAAAAAATATAATAAATTATAATGAATAAAATGTATATTTTTACAACTAACGGCTTTTGTATTATAAAATACGTAGTAGGTAGGTATAAACTATTTATACATTAATTGTTTAAAAATTCCTGCGGTCCTGCCCAAATTTTAAAATTTACAAAATTAAAAATTTTTTATATTCGATGCCCAGTAGCTATCTAATGATAAAAATTGTATCACGGTGTTTTTTTTTCAAACATAATGAAATTGTTTAAGTTTTATGTTAATACTTTTCTAATTTTTACCCTGATTTTAATACCTACCTTAATTAAATATTCATTTTCATTTTCAAATGACAACCCTTACCAATGGTAACAAAATAATATTTTTTTAAAAATGTTTATATGCTTAGTAATTAATAAAGATATACCCATTGTGATGTCTCGGAAAGTACATACAAGTTTTTTTTTTGACAATTTAAGATACAAGTACTTCTAAAGTGTTATATTAGGTACCTACCATTAGTTTTGGTCACCTTAATTTTATTGACTTACAACTTTAGATGTATAAATGCCAATCCATATTAAAATTTCCAAAAATAAATGGAGTATTAGTTTAAATTTCTACATGTTTTTATTTCGATCAATCTGATGAAAACATAATCCACTTTTAACTTTGAGTAGGGGGAAAATAGTTAGTGTAAATTCAAAATTGTATAGCTACTTGTTTTTTAAATTATCAAAACAAAGATAACACTTTGCGATAGATATATAAAAATGGGTGTATTTTTGTACCTATACCATTTATCACTTAGTAAGGAAGGATAATAAAGTTCATATCAATATTCAAATGATAATTCCTCCTTCATTCACACCTTTGGTCTAAACTATTTTAAGTATCGATAATGCATACATGGTAGGTATTAGTATTATGCATATCAAAATGTGTAGAACAATATTCTCTTTTCTAATCTAGTTTGCAAAAAAGTGATTGCTAATTGAAAATAAAAATTTAATGTGTTTGTGGTATTAAGTATAAGAAACACCTAAAGTAAAGGTATATTTTCAATACATTGTAAATAAGATCACATAAAACAATTTAATATTATCTCAAAAAAAAAACTAGAATTATCAAAAACTCAAAAACATTGTAGATAATTGGATAAAAATAATCACCTGTATGTAAAGCATGGTCAAAAGGAAAGGTTTTAAAATAAAGTATGTATTATGTACTTACATATATACTCTTTTGTTTACAAATTACTTGCCATTACTTTGAATTTATCAAAGTAATAAGAACCAGCTAAAACAAATTTTGGAATGCACTATTTACTAATGGTAATTAATTATATTTCATAGTTAACACAACAAATGTATACATATTTTTGGAATATGCTAAGTCAAAAATACAATAATTTTTTTTAAACTGACCATATTTCATATTGCACTTAAAGCCCACTGTTGTAGGTGGTAGTAGGTAGGATGATAAATTAAATATAGGCTACACTAGTTATGTATAAAATGTACACGAAATTAACAACTATGTAAAATATGTAGTCTACAGATAATTTGGTTAGATTTCTATCATTTTGATAAATTTAAGACAGTGGAATCTATTCAAAATTGATACCTCTTTCACACTCCAACCCCCATTACTATTCAATAGTTTTCTCAACGAGACTACTTTTTGTTTTACGGTACGAACATGATCAACTATTTTGCCACATGGCCAGCCGATGCGTGTAACCTACGACTTACTTCTATCTTTTTATCTCCTAAGACTGATCCTAATTATAAGAATGCACACAAATATACATAGATGGGAATAATAAAACAAAACATGTTTTATTTGGATTTGAGTAATCTAGTCTATGTGTACAAGTAATTATAAATTGATATCTCTACTGTTCACCATCAATCAACGTATTTCAATTGCTATACACTTTTGGAATGTTGTCATTTCTAACCAATATGAGTTTTAGCATTTTTAACATGATTATAATTTAATTATGTCTTTTAATTGTTAAGAATTTTAATTAAAATAAAATTCCCAAAATAACAAACATTTGTTTTTATATATATATAAATATATATAAAAAAAATTATAATAATTAACAAAAAAAAAAAACAAACTTATTTTGAATATAAAACTGATTCCTCTCAAAGGAAAAATTATCAAATTCCACCAGACTGTACGTACAAATAAATAATAACAAACAAAATAAATAAAATCACCATAACAAAAGAAGAGCCATAATGGTTAGACAATTAATAAATAATCTTAGGTAACAAATTTCATAATAAATGCAATTCAATAATAATAACTAAGCTAATGATATTATTTTATGGTTTTTTTCTTTTTTTATGTACTCTATAACTAAATCAGCCTATTTTTTTTCTAAACAAAATACCCAAACATTTTGCAAAACGCACATTTTTTCTTATAATCTGTTAATTGGTATGTAAAATAAATAATTTTTATAAAAAAATATTGCAATTATGTTTTAATTTATTTTCTTCACCGCTGAATACTCTTGCTGCATTTGTTGTTGTTTATTTGTAACAGTCATTGGTTGGTCACCTGAGTCTTGGTTACTAACTATTTCTACACCTTCAGTCTCCAAAATAACTAAAAACATTAATACAGAATAAAACATAAATATATTATCTTACATAGAATATCATTGTTAAATCGTTATAAATCATTACGTTTGTTCAAATTTATTTTATGTTTCTGAATAAGGACTTTCATAATATGTTATAATATTATATTTATTATGTTTTTGTATTAAAAAAATATTAAAATTGTAAAATTTGTGTGCCATGTTTCCTGTGTTTAAGTATATTTGTGTAAACAACTCAAAAGATATAATTTCATTTAACAATAGAACCATTGAAAAATAATCTGAAGGTATTTTTTTTATACTGTTGAATAATAACAATAAAAAACAATTGTCAAATTATATATTGATAATAATAATAAATATTATTTAAAATTAAAATCTCAATTCAAAACCAAAAGTAATTATTATGTGATTATAAAAAAAATGATCAAAATTAATGAAAAAAACATAATAATACGCACTGTTTCAAAGAATATTTGATTCATTCATACTGTATGTGCTAACATTCTTATTTATTTATTTAAATTATGAAGACAGAATATTGAGATTTATATTTTTTTCCATCGCATGCTGTAATCATTGATTATATATTACAGTACTATAAAAAATTATACAAATTAGTCATTTCACATAGAAATAATTTATTTTAATAAGAGAGATTATTTAAATTAAACAAAATTCACTAAAATTTTGAATAATAATGCAAATAATGTAAAAATCACTTATAAGACTGATATTAATTAAATCAAATATAGAAACAACGGAACTAAAAACTTCAAAAAATCCCCCTTCTTCAGAAAAATCTGGTATATATTAACTTATATGTAACTATAATAAATTGTGTATAGGTAAGACAAATAAGATTTAAAGAACATATTTCTGATATAAAATTAAAAAAGACTGCCTCTAATTCAAATTTTGTTAAACATGTTTTAGAAAATAACTAGAAGTTTTGATATTAATACAGATTTAGAAATATTAAATGCCCAAAATAACATTTACATTAATTTAGTTTTAGAAAAATTACACATACACAATGAAATAAAGAAAAATAATATTAATATTTTAAATGTTTAAATCAATTTTAAAAATAATGTCTTATATCAATACATTTCAGATAATAAATAATAACCAAATAATTTATATTTTTTAACATATCTATGTCTAATAATAAAACAATAAAAATATAATAAAATCTCGCCAATTAAAATAAATTATTTCTATGTAAAACAAATTATTTGTACTATATTCTCGCAATGGATTTCTTCATTTATTTTTTCATATTCAGTCACGTTTTACTTTTTGATTTTACCTGATAGTGAATTTTTAATTTGAAACTGTTCGTGCAATACACATTTCTTAATACTCCAAGCGATACAATCATTTATTTATTTATATATTTATTTACAAGTATTAACCATATAATAATTTTCTTTATACTTTATTATATAAAATATTAGGTTATCATAACAATATTTTTCAAAGTTATTGAAAAACAGCTCCATCAAAAAGGAACATTAAAAACTACAAGTCAATTGTAAACGAATAAAAATGTTTTAATTACTTTTGTCAGGTTCTTGTACTGGTTCATCGACATTACCCAGTTTATCTAAATTAGTGTTTGTTTGATTGAGACAAATATCGGTGTTCACAGTACTAGATAAAAAACTAATTTGATTATTATATTCAAACTAACTATATAATACTAAGTCAACTATTATTAATGATTTTAATTGACTTACGGTATTTGAAGTTCATTTATTTCTATAGCAGGACCACCACTGTATATCCTCCACAGATATTCCCATTGGATTTCGGTTACAGACACATAGTCAGTGGATTCTAAGTAAATTATAATTTATAATTCAATTTCCATGTCATAATTAATATTTGTTGGATATTAAATTTAGCGTGACATACCTGAAATTAAACTATCAGTTTTTTCGATCAGTTTTGAATTGTCTATTGGTCCAGGTGGTTCACTGGAAACACCATTTAAGAAAGCTTCCCAACATTTGAACCAAATCATCGATATTGCATAATCTGGCGATAAATCCTAAATACACAAATTCATATAAGTCAACAGATATAAAATCTCACAAAAATGCATATCTTAAAAAAACCTAAGTGTGCTTCTCAAAATCTTTATAAGAACTTTTTAAAATTGTTTGTGTATGGATATAACACCATTATTTATTCCAAATTTCAAAGCTCCGAATAGTTTTTTTTTTTCAGAATTCAAATACTTCTTATCATAAAATAGTAATGTTTCTATTTTTTAAAATATGATTTTTCCATTTTAAATATTACAATGATTTTTATGACAATTGCATCATGTATGAATTTGTTTTAAAATAGTATATATTACATGTGGATTTGACTCTTCTCTGAGTCGTGTAAAAGTCTTTGTTTCTGTCTCAGCTCTATTCCTGAGCAACATCTCAATATAATCAGCATAACAGATTTCACATCTCTGTAACTGATTGTTGGTACATTTCGGTCCTCCACCAAACCTATAAAAGCATGTTATCAATATAAAAATTATTTATAAACCAATGACATATTTCACTTACTTGCTATGTAGAAAATCCCAAATCTGACTAGAAACCATTGTGGCATAATGATTGATTTGTGGTTCGTGAGTTGGTTTCACTCTATTGTGGTGACACATAAAATCATAATTGTCAATAGGACCTGGTTCGGCAAATGTATTGAACTTGGATAACCATCTGGTTGAAATAAAACATACTTCCTGGGAACAATTTGGCTGGGTCTTGTTTACTTGTACTTGACGCATTTGTGTTCTTATTCTATTAGTTATAGGACTATTTTTTCTGGAAAAAATAATAAAGTACAAAAATCAGTTCAAATTAAATTACATAATTAACATATTTTATAATAATAGTTTAATATAATTATATTGCTCACTTATAAAATAGAACATAAGCTTCAGAGCTGCGAACTATTTCTGCCGATACCAAGGTAACGCACTGGTCATCAAACTCGTACCATTGCTCATTGATTGGATTTAAGGAATAGCATGTATAATGACCACCACTCCCTATTGTTCCATGATGACAAATAACAGATACTAGTTTATAAGTTGTCACTTGGGATGTACAATCTGAAAATTTAATTAGTATAGTTTTCAATCAAAATCTTATTAGATTAATAAACTGCACATTTTATTATTAGCATATGACATCAGCATAATTTAATGAAGTATAGAATACAAGTAATTTTAATAATTAAACAAATAAGTATGTAACATATATTAAGTATTAAGCAAATAAAAAAATTAATAATTAGATGATCAAAATTAGGAATTACTAATAAATAAATAATAGTATAATATATGACTAGAAATTAAGGAATATTTAGTGTCAATGGAAGTTACTTCACAGAAAGACACAAATTTTCCAACAAGTTTTTTCAACAAAAGTGAAGAAAACTAGATACATGATAAATTTGTATACATACCTTTATGGACATATGGCCGTAAGTCTAGTCCATCAATGGGAAATGTTACATAAGATGTTATTTTAGATGAAAACATCAGCTCATGCCTGAATCGTTTAAGATGTATACACAAAACTTCAGGCAATTCTAATAGCTTTGAAAATTTAATACCATTACGCAGCTTTTTACATTTTTCACAACTAAATAAATTTACAGTAATTAATGATTATAATAAGAAATATATTTAGAATTCATACAATTTTCTCTTACCTATACATATTATCGCCTTTAAGTTCATCAGCACTGAAGAATGCTGCTAGACAATCATGTAAACCAACTGTTGGACCCCATAACCATCTGTACATCATGTCCCAAAACCAAAAGATCCAGTTCTAAAATAAAAAATGAATAGTGTAAAAACTTAAAGATTTTTTTTTTTTTTTTTTTAAATTAATATACTTGAATGACTTGTTGATTTGTATAAATATCGGATAATTTATGTACGGAACAGAGATTGGTTGAGCTCTGGTGAAGAACTGTGACATGGTCACGAGTAGGTATAGGCAGAGATAAGTCTTGAAAAGCTTCAACCCTCGAAGAGACCTATGAAATAGTAGATTACTCAAATAGTTACTATATTAAATTAATCATCACAATAATTTTAAATGTATTGAAACAATAAGTGATTAATTAAATTTAATAATACAATTTAAAAATGTTCTAATGAAAACTATTGGGGATAATTTTAAATGGTAATTTGAGTAGTTACTTTTACGTTTAATTTGTTTTATCGAAACTAATAAATATATGTACCTATTATTATAAAATACCATTGACAATAAAGCAAATATTGGAATACACATTGAAATATATTAATTGATTTGATAATCATTTATAAATAATAAAAATAAACTTATTTTAATTTAAATAAAATATTTTATACCAAATTGACTATTTCTTGCAATTAAACTTAAATACAGAGTAATGTAATACCTAAAAATGTAGAAAACAATGGGATCAGTATACTTTTCCGACAATACATTTTATATATTTTTACTGTACCTACATAATACTTATATACAATATTTTATTATTATTATTAATAATAATTTATAAAGATTAAAATCAGATAAATATTTTACAACCGATAATATTGTTCTGTGTGAAAAAGTACTAAGTATTATAAACAAACTCTACAAAAATAAAATGTTATTGCGTTATCGTATACGAACTGAACTGTTATTCGCATTCCTGAATAAACCAATGAAAATTTTGATTTTGAAACAAATTTTATGAGTCCCTAAAACATTAGTCTTGAATGTAACATTGAATAATAAATAATGTAATAATTTATTGAATACTTGTTGACACAAATTAATTATTTATAATACTTAATATTGTAAAAATGTAGTGTCGGGCAAACATATCAGACCACAAAATAATTTTTGTCTAATAATTATAGCTTATAAGCAATTTGAAATCAATTATATATAGCTTGAAATATGCAAATTATTTTCAATATATCAAAATAAAAATATTTTTGGTTCGAAAAAGAACTAAAAAATTAAGACAAAACTTAAATAAAATGGAGATATTTGGAAAATAACTAAATATATGAAGTATACTATCATGACTATGGTAAAGTTCACTGTCATTTGTGTTCTTATATGCGCAATGTGCACTTATAATATGCTAAAGCATGCTTAGAAATATTAACATGTTAATAAAATATTTACTAACCCGATTACAGGTTAAACATTGCACTGAACTTAAAAGTTTTCCATCAAATATTTCAGATATTATACTGTTATATTTGACATGAAGTTTTCTATTTTTCTGGCACAGTGTAACTTTATTTCCATGATTCATTTTAGCAAACAAATGACGTTCTAGTTTTTTGGTCAAGTTTATCCGTTCAGATGTCTCTTCTGATAATGAACTACGTTCACTTACACCTGAATCACATGTTTCATATTCATCTACACCCTCTGAACTGCTATCGGCATTTGTCAAAGATTTTAGTTCATCATTATCTGAACACTCGTCTTTATCATCTTCTGGCATAGCCAAATGACTTTGTTCTACACTCTGTTTCCTTGAAGTAACTAAACATAATCATCAATTAATTGTTCAATAGAATTAAATAACTTTTACCTTTATAAGAATGATGCTTAGATGGAACAGCTTCAAGTTCAGGTTCTTTAAGCTCTTCATGTAACTGATCCATAAAACATCTTAAAAATTCTTGGGTGTCATGTTGATGAAAACCTCTAAACATTGGAAACACCTAAAATCATGATATAAAATATGATTGATAATTAGATTAACTAAAAACAAATAGTGAAGTATATTGCATTTTACCACTTACATTTCGCATTGTATATAAAATTGATGTAGGAGTAACATATCCCGGACGTTTAGTATGCCAAATTTCTTGAATGAGGCGATGATAAGCTCTAGATAAGTTTAATTGATTTTCTGATTGGTGGTATGTATATTCAGGAAAACAAGTTAGAAAGTAATCTGTCAACGGTGGAGTATTGGATAATGCTTGAAGAGCAGCATTCATATAACATGTGTTACCAATGTTTTGAAGACCAGTTAATCCTAAAATATTGTTTTATATTATAATAATATAAAATTTAAATATACATAAAATAAGGCGCGTTTTGGTGATCTAGTTTTAAGCAACCTTGTTAGCAAATAAACTATTTTGATGTTATTGTTTACTGCAATTGTTTTGCAACTAAATCCAAATTTTAGTAATCAGCGAACAATAAAAACTAGATTTAATATATTTGGTTATTGGTTATCCATCAATGGATAACTCATAACAAAAAAATACTGTATGGTAAACAAAACATTTTGGAAATATTACAATCATGTAGCAATTTTTTACTAAAAATCAACTCACCAAAACATGCCTAATGTTATAAATATTCGATAATTTAATTAAACACACAAAAAACGATCTAAATTATCAGTAATTACCTGTAGGTTTATGATCTTTTGTTAGTCTATATTCATCATCACTGTCTTCATCGGCAGATTCACCACTATTATTCACCAGTACACTGTTGCGATAAAATTCTATAGAACAATTTGAACCACGCCTTACTCCATTCAATGTCCGTGTGTTATTTCCGATATTACATTCTTTTACACACACATAACAGCACAAACGCATGGATGGAAGACTAAGATGTAAACAGTGGGTTTTGTTATCCTATGAATTATAAATGCTTTATTTATTATCGATTTTAAATAACCAACATAGTCCATCATAGTATAATAAGTACTTTAAAATGAAGATAACTGTGATCACATCCTCCATCGTAACAGAATGCTTGTAAACAGTCTGGGCTTATGCAGAACCATACTTCAGGTTTTTTTGATTGACACACACAACAAATTAAACCACCAATGTGCTAAAAATAAAATATATAAAATCAATGACATCGTTTTTAATACAAGTGGATGAAAAATCAAAAAAATCAAAACAATACATACATGTTCTAAAAATTCGGCACATTTCTCGATTGCTGTTAAGTGATGAACGGTAAAGTGTGAGCAGTCTTCCATTTTTGGTTTTTGGCTCAAAGTGGTTAACCTACTTTGATATTGCACTAAATCCTTATATCTGCGGATAATTATAATTGGATAAATAACACACAAAACACGTATATAAAACAACCTTTGTTGTATAAATTGTTGAACGAAATAGGATGAGATATAATTATATGCACTAGGCACTTTGAATCGTCAAGGGTCAAGAACAATGGTATTTAAAAATATTTCGGACAGGACCGAAAGTCAAGCGAACAAAAAATGTCGATAAGAAAATCAAAAACTTGAACCAATAATAATTTAAGAGCCAAGACCCGAAAGAACACTCGAGAAGACGAACAACGAAAACGGAATAGTGGATATCAGTGGCTGGTGTACCGTTCGAGTAGGGAGAATAGGAAAAAAAGGGAAAATCGAGTTATCGGAAAACTCGAGAATGACTAGGTGGTAAATAGACTACTTATCTGGTATCTAAGTACCGGACGGAGAATGCAGATCCGTTGCTGATATCCGACTAATCGACACGATCGATAAGAACTGCACTGGCACGGTCTGTGCACTGGTAAACGGGGCACGGGGATAACGTCATTTATTTGAAAATCCTCGAATCGGGGGAATAAAATAACGCAAAATCCGCCATGGCACGGAGTACTATTTATTTAAATCGCAACTAGCAAAAACAATTATTATATTGTTCAAAGTACAGCATGTAAGCGGTTGTAAATTTTACGTGCACATCGTTCGCACAGTAACACGAAAAAAAAAACTACTAGTAATGACAATTAATAATATTATATTAAAATAAAAATAAACCTACTCTAGCTACATAATAATAATATGTAATACACCTCCGTAAATCATGAGTCGGTCGGTCATCGTAAATTCGTAAACTCACTGCCGCAGTACTTTAGTGATTATAATATTATTACCTATAGTGAAATATCATAAATGAAATGTGATTTTTTTTTTTTCTACGATTTTTTTATCCTCACTAAATAGTTGTTCACCTTGACAGTATTAACGCGTGCGCGGCGAAAAATTATGTTCCGTTCAGCTAGTCGCGCGCCACCACCGTCGGTATGTGCTACCACGAGCACAACCACGGTTACCGCGTCCGACCACTCGACAGACGGGAGAATTCTAGAAAAAATCTCACAAAACATCGACTCGTTTCCCTACCACGCCGCGGTCTAATGAACTTGCCGTCGCCGCGTATTATTGTTTTTTCTGTACTTATCCATTATTCCATAGATACATAGGTATATCTATTTTTTTTTTTTTTATTATTATATGTAAGACGTAGGTACTGGTTCACTGTTATATTTTGTCATCCGTAGTTTCGCACCGGCAACGATAAAGTTACACTGTTCGGATTCACCGGAAACACGACCCGGGGACCTCGCTTTTTATATTAAATGCGAAAGATAAAAAAAACATCCTCCCGGTAGATGAAGATGATGTGTGCTTTTTGGCACTAAGAAAAAAGGTACCGTTATAAATTAATCCATAACTAAATAAAAATAGATAATTATTTCAATGAACAGAAAAATACGTAGATGGTAGGATGTAGCCTACATCCTACAATCTCCGTACATCATGTAGTTCTACTTTTTATTGGGAATATATTGTACCTATTGGATATTTGGACGTCTAAATTCTAATTGTTGTATGATACACTAATATGTTTTAATTTTCACCCGTTGGAATGTAATACAAATGTAAATGTTTCTAGATTTTCAATGAATGACCATAAATCAAAATATGGGGAGGGGGGGAGTTGAGAAGGCTTAGACCTCCCTGAGCCATCTCAAGCCTAAAATATTTAAATTAATTTAGTCTTTAATCTAAATACATTGTATTTTAACAAAAATACTCTATAATTACGCCTAATAAATCGAACACATTTACTCTGTTACTCGTTACACAATTTTATCATTGTCCATTGTCAATATTGCCATATAAAAGACAGGTAATATTATTATTATTATTACATTAGTTTAGTATAATTTCGTTTTCTGGTAATTATTGAGAATTTGGAGAAGACGCATATCATACAACTATAACGCTGGGAAAAAAATATTATTGATTGTAAACAAAGAGGAGATAGATAATATCCCGCTATAACGTCTTGCGTACACAATATTTCATATTTTTATTTCACTATAAGTAACCTAATCAAATTTTTAGGATGAAAATAATCAAAAACACGCGATATCCCCCCCCGCATTACATAATCCTGGCTACACCACTGTTGCAGCTAGATTAGTTATTTACAAACAGATTTGCTCAATTTGCTTTTTGGGTTTTTTTAAAGTCATATTTGGAGAGTGAAATAAACTATAGTTGCTTGTGGTACAGAGATTTTATCATACACCTATAACTAAAGCTAAAAGTTCTCTGCGTGCTATTGTGGTAGATTTTCAGCCGATGTACGTTGCCCAGGTTACACTACGAAGAAGCGATTTACCGTTATAACTCCTTCACCCCCACAAAAAAAAACGATTTTGAATGAAATTCGTTTATATATGATTAAAAAAGCTGTAATATTTATGATTTTCATCAAATGTTAATCTTAAAATTATTATAAAAAAAAAAAAAAAACAATTTCATTATACTCTTCATTTTTTTACCACTGAGTGCAACTTATAATAATAAACCTCTTGTTAAATTTTACAGAATTTTTGTTTGGTCGAACAATAAATTACAATATATACATAATACCTACTAAATAAAAACTACGTAAAAAACTTGCAAACATAAAATGTCTATAAATAGTTCAAAATTTGACTATATCTAGAAGAAGCAATTATAAGTTTTTTATTTCTAAGAATATTTTTAACAAAAAAACAAAATTGAAAATAATGGAACTATTTTACGGATTTACGTAAACTTTCCTGTTCTAACTATTACGTTTTTTCCGGTTTCGCTCAATTATTTAAATAAAAAAATACACAGAAAATTAAATAATGACTTAATTATATTCATCAACTAGATTAATAATGCAACAAAAAAAGTTTTTTGTCATTTTTCGATTGGAGCAAGTATTCTGTTCAAAAAGTTGTTTATAGACAAAAAAAAAGTAATAAAACCAATAGATCCCGAACTAAGCTCTGAATCTAAAACACATCATAGGTAGTAAAACCAACACATTCTTGACTATACTTAGAATCTAATATAAATATATATATGTAAGTAATAATTTATCTTGCAATGTTATTTTCATAAACACCCCACAGGTCTCGAATAATTTATTAACCACACATACATTGGTATATTCCACGTTCCAGAATATTAAGCCTAGCTCTATGCTTCTATGTAAAACATGAAACGGTGTACAAGAGATGATGATGTGACGAATCAATGCAACTGTACTGTTACAGCTAGTATCAAACATGGTTTCTTAATATTAGAATCATTGTTATGTCATTAATTTTCATTTTCATTTTGTTTCATAAAAATTGTTTAAAAGTGCGTTATCACATAACATGTGTAGTACTGAAGTGAATGCTGTAATTCGGTTTTTTCGACTTTCTAGTCCCCCTACCCTCACTATTATTTGTACCCAAATGACAACATTAATCAGTAACAATCAATATTTATGGGCAATAGGCTTGTATAGATAAAAGTAATATTTTATGAAATACAAAAACATATAGGTGAATACATAATTTTACATAATTTTTAATAGTATATTATAATGAAATAGGTACGCGCTTTTACAGTTCTGGTGTATGGATTTTATAATTAGACGAAAAAAATAATCTCATCGCTTTAAATCGAATTAATGAAGATAATACTAGTGTTTGAGTCGTACATGGTGTTTACGCTCTTGTGAGTAAGGTATGATCTCAGGAATTAACGCAGACATTATTAGACAAAAATATATTACGTAGACTTTCTTTTGGTACCATAGAAGGGTCACCATTTGCCTTGACTAATATAATAATTATTGTACGTTCATTATGCATCAGTCTAGTTAAAAAAAAAAAAAAAACACGTGTATTTTTAACGAAAACATTGTTTAAACAAAACGATTTTAACACTTGTTTATTTAATACTATTTTTTTTCTAGGTAAATAGGTATCTGTTATGTACTATTTTTCATTTTGTCTTGTACACCTCTCTAGTACACAATAATACAATTATTAGCTATTACCTATGGGTAATAATATCATTATAACAACATGCAGTTAGTGACCTACGTGCAGGTATTCGTTTCAACGGGTAACTAGACGAATAAAACATCGCATTATCATAATATCGGATAGTAATAAAATTATACTATGTGAAATTGGTTATTATGTGTTATAGACACTTCTCATAGGAGTAATAATTTGTATACATACTTATCACCATACATACCGTGTCACGGTTTTATTATTGTACAATAATGTCCATTGTCCATAGCGCACTTTTAGCGAAAAAAAATTATTAGCTATTTCGAAGGTAACAATTTTGTAAATGTATAATTAATCCGAGTAAATCGTCATCAACTATTTTCTATACACTTGCATATAGATATTACTAGGTATTATTTTGTTTTTTTTGTTTTTGTTAGGATGAGTATTTCATATTTAATAGTTTGACCTATTAATGTTATACCACTTATACCTAATACATGCATGCAGCTATACTTATTGCAAATAAAAATAATAGTATTACGTTTTAAACAGTCTTATAAAGTACTTGAGTAAAAGCATTTAAATACTTTTTAAGTACTCAAATACGTATTTTAAATACATTCGAAAGAGTACTTGGGCACAGTATTTGAATATTCGTTGAAAGTTTCTGTATTTAAAATGAAATACTATTTTCAAATACTTGTTCTTCTTATTTTATTGTACATAGATGCTAATTTAAATAAAAATAATACAAATTTCACATTAGTTTTATTTTTATTAGTAGATCGGAACGCATTGTTATATCAATATAACATATTACATAATATTTTTAGAGGTTATTCACATTCCATTTAATTGAGTATATATACAAGACTGCAAGAGGGTTTTTAATATAGGAGGAGCAGTAAAAAAAAAAACAAAAAATTTGTCGGATAACTGATGAAAACTTTGAAAAAATTATGTTACTTAAGTGCAATCAAATATTTTGTGCAGATTAAAAAAATACATTTTATTACCTAATTAATATATATTTTAAAATGTATTATTTGATTTACATTTGTTATTGTTGAAAATTAATAAATAAATTATAATACTTTTACATTATTAAAAAAAAACGAATATTTGAAAGTGTCTAAAAATATTTTTTTTAATTATCTGTATTTGTACTCTTGCATACTTTGTTTTCCAAGTATTCAAATGCGTATAATAAATACTTTTGAAAATAAGTATCTGTATCTGTAGTTAAATACTTTTTAAAAGTATCTTTTACAAGAATGATTTTAACCGCTAACAAAAGATATTAACGATACATTACTTACTCGGATTTGTTTTTATTTAAAACATATACATTCTACACCCATTAATACTTACATCTACTCAGTTATAATATATGAAACATTTTACGATTTTTAATTCAAACCCTTTGCATATTTTTAAATTAGTTCATCTAATATTTAAAACAATAGTATTATTTTTAGTTTGAGAAATGACAAGATGTGACGGTATAGCAAGGAGAAACGTGTAAAGTCCAAATGGAGGGTCAATTAAGAGCAACTGAAAGGGAGAAATTGGATGATTATTACGGATACATACGACAAATATTTCTTGTATTTAATGAAAAAATATTTTTTTTGAGAAACTCGTAACAACGTATTAGAGCAATACCTAATAATAATATATATATAGCATAAAACCAGTGTCTGGAACGTTCACCGAAAAATTGAATTCGTTTGCATTCATTGTTTAAAAAAGAAACTCGTTCACGTTAAATTTAATGAATCACTTACCTGAAGTCAGTAATATTAAACCCGTAAACATAATAACATAAGAAATAATATTTGAAATTCCTGACGATTAAATCTAAATCTGACGGCGCAGATGATAAAGCCACGCACTACCGTACCTTAATATTACGGATGCATTTTCATTACGATATCGGATATAGTTATGATATTAAGTCGAGCCGAGCCCACTGAAATACCACGTACTATATTTTTAAAGTTTAAAATTAAATAGCTATAAAAAACGAGTGACACTCTCGGTCGTTCACTAATTTACTAATAATGAATTTTTTTTATAAACACAGCATAAAACGGAGGAACATTAATAATAATATGCATTAGTCGATTCGATGAATTAATCAAATAATAAATACAGAATAATAAACAACGGTTCAATACCAAATATCCAAATCCGAATAGTTTCAAGTTTCTATTACACTGTTCGTGAAGTACGTCATTAGATACTTACTTCCCATGAAGATAACATTGTTTGATGGCGTAGCGTTAGTATTATAAAATGGCAAGTACACGCACAAAAACTATGTAGACAGTAATTACCTAAAATAATAATAATAACATTTTCATAGTATTTTTATAATTTTTTTATTTTAACGAATCGTTTTAGAAATTTATTGAATGTTACAACAATTAATAATACTTACAATAATAATTAATATTATATTGTAAATAGTTGTTTTGTATATAGTATTCATACAATTGTTTAATATTGTTTTTTGGTACTTACCTATATTATATATTTGGACATAATGTAACATATATAACTCAATGTAATATCGTGTTTATCGAATTAGTGATAAATGATAACTAATAATCGTAATAATATTTATTTGCACAAAATTAGCAGTTTTGAATTAAGTACTAATATTACGCAATTAAAAATTAGACAAACTATAATGATAGTCAAAACAATTGGGCTCTTAGTGGTGTAATAAAACAAATACAAGACCCTGGGAGAAGGGAATTAGACAATTTTCGAAAATTATATGTATAGAAAGTAACCTACGCACCTGCCGCATTCATTAATTATGTTATTTATCCGTAATGTTATATCAAAATAGAATAAAACAAAAAATCGAATGTACTTCGTACCATAGATAAGCCATGTGTAGAAAATCTATGTGTAGTATAGGAAGACAATTTTAAAGATTTTGAAGAATATAGATAACTTAATTTATACACTGATAGCAACAATAAATCATTGTAATCAATAAACGTTTTTGAGCGGATAAGTGTTAGTCGTGTTTTTCTTCTAATAGCTAGAGTACCTCAGGAATTAGCAAAAATAAAACAGATGTATCGACATTAGTTGGTAGTTTTAGATTCGGAGCGTAGCGAGGGATCTATTGGTTTTACTATGTGTTTGTTTTCCATCTATGAACAACTTTTCTACCAAAAATCTTGCTCCGATAAATCAAATTCAAGTATAGTACATTTTCCTAAAGGAAATTTTGTTTAATTGGTGCATTAGAAAGGTCAGTTTTGATTTACCAAGGGTAGAGTTTGGATATATCCTGATTTGGCGGGACATTCATGATTTTTAATATACTTGTTCCATGCCCCGCGTAAATTACTGGCGGATGCGTATGACACGATTTGTATACGTTTTTTTTTATTTTTATACACATTTTACATTATATTGCAAAAAGAATTCCTGTAATAATTTTGTTTAGTAATGAATTATTACTGAACATCTTGGATACAATAATATAATATTTAACCAAATTAAATGTAAATTTTAATAACCAATACTAATATGAATATCGTTAAAATAAAATTTGTTTAAGTTTAGTTTCTATCATATACTCTATTTCACAAATTTCCACCAGTAATCTTCTATATTTATAAAATAACATGTCCTGACTGACTGATTCATCATCGCCTAGCCCAAACGGACGGATAGGGCTGAAATTTAGCACACCGATAGCAATTATGACGTAGGCATCCGTTAAAAAAAGAATTTTCGAAAATTCAACCCTTAATGGTGTAAAATAGGGTTTTTTTTAGATTTATTTGGTACGAATATCTATAATTGCTTATTTATTTACTTTTATTTATTCAAGGGTTACCTTGGTGTTACGGAAAAAAAAACTATTATAATTATTATTATTACTATTATTTATACTGTTAAAATTTTACAATAGAATATATTTAGTTCATCGAAGATGGATCTATCATTTGGTAAACTAATAAGAAGATATTGGTTTAATTCCGTTGTGACTTATGAGTAGTGTGTTGCACTATCGTGCAATAAATATAATTTATCAGACATAAAAAATTAATTATTAAGTACAACTATAATTATAACTTTTTTATTTCTAAATTTATAATAAATGTTAGTTTCTGTTTCACAGTTATTAGTATAATAAGAACATATATTTATAGTTTTTTTATATCTTATAAATAATTATAACAACTTTTATTTACGTATTTATTGATTATTGAGAGCTTTTTGAAATTAATTTAAAAAGAGTTGGTACAAATTATAAGAGTGGTAAAATTGTCTTGTAACTATTGTTTAATGTTTACTTTACCAAATTGTACTGCCTCTCCTTGAAGGTAAAAATAACGAGAGAATTTAAATTCGCCCATTAAATCATGTCATTATCACAAGTATTTATTGCAGAGTTACGAAATAATCAAAAATGTTAACGTAAGAATCATCTCTTGCGATAAAAACTACTTGGGTTTAGTTAAGAAATCAAACTTCTTCAAAAGACAATTTGAACAATACAACGTTGATTTTAGTTTTGTAATATCAATACTGTTAAATAAGCTATTCGTGTTTGAAAAACGTAAATTGTCACATTTTTAGAACAAGATAATAACTTGTTTATAGTTATGGTATCAAAAAACTTAAATGGACAGGGTTCATTGCAAATTTCCATTTATCAATGATAAATACTGTTGGTTTCTTAATTCAGGTATGTCATTGTAGTTGCCTATTCGAAACGCCTTAAATACGGGATTTTATGTTTCCAGTTAGTTGTGGACTAATTCCCCGAATATTCGAAAAAAAAAAAATAAAAAATGTTATCAACATTATCAACTGAACTCCGCTCATAATCGGTTTTTCGTTAGCAATGGTTTATCGTTGCTTACAGATATATAGTAAATTTCCCCTCTATCACCTTCCCAACTTTTCATTTACAACAGTGGCTGCACCCTCGTACGAAGTTGCCCAGATTTTTATAGTAGAATTCCTAGTTTACTAACTAATAACGAGAAATCGCCCTGCGATTGAAATACTTTGACTTACATATGGAATGTGGAATACGTGAAGGAGATTAATAGTTTACCCTATAGTTAATGTATAGGACGAGAATCGATCAATAGCAACTCGCAAGGATATGTGATTTTATCAAAATATTCTACCCGAAACAATAGTCGACAATAGCAATATAAGCAATCGCGGTAATAAATTATGATAATTGAGGACGGTAGACACTTCCACCATAATAATATCGAGTATTTAATTATTTATTGTATAATATGGTCGAAGGATGAACCCCTCTGCCGAACGATTACAGTACATCTATTCTGTGATAGCACGTCGGAACGTCGGTCGGTGATCGTCGACAATATGTCGACTGCGCGATTACGGGGGTAACTGTTTGATATGACGTCACAAACAGCTGGGATACAGCTGTAAAAACCGTAAACACAGGGTGCCCCACCACAGAACGTGTTGTTGTTATTGTTATGTTTATTTTTGTTCGCGTTCTGTTGTTTACACCGATTTTCACCGTGACTGCCGGTTCCAACACCGCCAACACGTTCGACACCGACTGTCTACAAGTCGTTCCGCCATTTTCTGTCGCAGTACTGCAGTACACTCACGTCCTCTGCAACCTTCGGTCTAGTTGCCTATCATTCTTTATTTTATTTCTTTTGCATTTATTAAGTAAACGCATATTATTCGAGACGCAATGGCCGCCATTGAAGAGGAAAGCAAATTGAAGGGAGGACATGCGCAAGCAGGTGAGAAAATTGTTGCAATTAACTTTTCGAGCTGTTACCACAACAGACGAGTTTTGATACTCGATAAAAAAAATAATATCTCGTTTTGACGATACTTTCAAATTTTGTTGTTTCAGTTAAAGCCGGTGGAATGCGCATCGTGCAACACAAGAGCACCGGAGTATCGTCCGGTGCGGCTGCCGCGACTACAGACAAGTGCTCGGCCGCCGTCGACGTGGCCAACGCCGCACTGAAAGTTTCGACGAGGTACGAAAAAATCACGTAACAGTAACAAGGTGTAAATGGGTGTTTATAGTTTTAAACTCCGGAAGTAGTTAAAATCTAACGTAGTCGGCCTTCGTTTCAAAAAACTTGATTCGTATAAACAAACGCGTATTACGCGAACACGTGTGTGTAGACTTAGATAGTTGCCATATGGCGCGCGCTGCGCAATACGGATATCGTCTTCAGATCTCCGAATATCTTTGGAACTTTTCGGTTTATGGATAGATTAACTTAATAGTTGATAGGCTAACTTAAGATTTGCCTCGTTTTGCCCAACGTGGTCCGAGTGATTCTTTAAATAAGACACCGCGTCACACCAAGCGAGGATTATTTAATTAACATATCCACGTGGTGGTACATAATATATGTTTATGGTCATTTCCGAATATGTATACAAAACTGGAAAAGAGCCCCCCCATAGGATGTCTGGGAACAATTCTTTAGACGGGCTATTCATAGGACTGAACAAAATTGTCATTTTTACAAATTATGGGTTATTATTGTAAAGTAAAGTTTATAAAAAAATACTGTGATTTACTACATTTTTGTAACCATTTTTTTTTATGGGTATAAAAATATTAATTTCTAAGTAAATATTTAGATTTTCATAAAAATTATTTCAAGAGTATTTCGTTTTAATTATTCTTGTATACAATTTTCAGTTCAGGAACTTTTGATAATTTTTTTTATCTATTTTAAATATTTTTAATTTCTTTGTTTATTCATAGCCCGCCGAAACAACCTGTTGTACCAGTACACGCTCACAATGACTATCCCACAGAGGCTGTCCAGAAGACTCATGACAAACCAATGCCGAGCCATGACATTAGACAACATCATTGCCCAAAGCCGGTTATCCATCAGCCACGGAAATGAACATTATCATTACTTCAAGATTGCCATTGTGATGCCTATTGCAAAAGACTGGACCTTCAATTACCCGCCATCTATAGGAAATGATTTAATGCACACCTACATTATTATGATAATAATATAATATTTAATATTACTGATGTTATATTTATATTCAATAATATGTACGTTAATGTTATAATTTATTAATTTTAATTACATTATTTTCAAGTTTTCTTGACAACACTACATGCGTTATCATTATTATGTAATTGTTGTTTATTGCATTAGTGTTGTACACCCAGTTAATATTATTTTATAATTTATTATTTATCACCTAGTTATATGTTTAAAATGGAATATTTACTAATAATATGCATTATAATATTAAATTACATGCATTTTGGGTTTTGGATGTAAATAATAATACATTTATTTATTAAGTTTTTGCTTTTATTTTTATATAATGAAATAAAGTAATTATTTCTAAAACATAATGTTAATGAAACTTTTCTTGGTTTATTTCTATTTGATATTTCTTCCTTTTTTGAGTTTATACGGAGGTTAAACGTAATAATAATATAGTCATAGATATTGACATTCAAAATTGATAGTGTGGGCAAAGTACAAGTTAATTTTGTAATCATATTTTATCTGTGTCTTGGTATGGTTAGATTAAATTTAAAAATATATACAAACCACTGGTAATGTTTTGATAATGGGGGGGGTATAGGCATAAATAAACTTCAATTTTCTCAAAACTATATGGGTAATTGATATTGACAACAATCTATAATCAGTATTGATCATAAGGATTTTCCCAGACTTTTTATATGTTCATTAAAATTTTGAAATAGGTAGGTATCTGAAGAGAACATTATTAACAGATAGCTAGATTTGCAGTGTAGATTTTGTGTTATAATTTAGAAAATTAAATACCTAGGTATGATTTTTCCAAAAGAGGTTACCATACTATGTCACATGCTATTAGCAGATATTTACTTAGTGAATTGAGAATAGCACTTGAAGGAAAGGGATAAGTAAAAGTAAAATAACATAATTTACTAATTATATAATATGAGTTTGAAAATAGACGGTGGCTACATTTTTAAAACGTGGAAATTATTTTGTACATTTATAAGAATTTTGGCTCGTTTCAATCTTAACACCTTTATGATCAAATGTAATCAACACAAAGAAATAGACAATACTAAGCGAATGAAATGTAGATTAGATTTCGGGCGGTTTTTGTGTAGACCGATTCTATTGGAACTAAGTGTACGTATATTTTGGTATTTCCTGAAATTAACATTCGGATCTATAAAACCGTGTATTTAAAAATCTGTGTACCTACACATATTCACGTTATTGTTTACTAATTGAAGTAAATAACGCTAAATAGTGAAAATAGACTGTAAATTCAGTTGTAATTTAAGTAATAAATACCAAGTTTAATTAAACACCACACAGTACACGCTAGAGCACTACACAGAATTTACTCACGTAATCACGTGAAGTACGGAGTACGGATTCCATTTTCAAGTTAACTCACGTTTTGGAATCCGTCTGTAACTTCATTGACGTGTATTACAATAATTTACAACCATAGAACATGGAACAGACTGACGTGTTCTTTTGGACATTATCATTACGACACTGTTATCAGTCGCTGAAATTTAAGATTTTTTACGATTTCAAATGACAATACATAATATTCTGCAAGTAATACATAAAAAACTAATTAAATACGCCAAGACGACAACACGCCGGCATTTTCATTTGTGTATATAATAACTATAAAGTAATGATCAACGTCGTTAACGATCTTGAGTAGAATCATCTTCCAGAAAATCGTCATCTCCATTGAAATATTTGTTAATTCTGTGTTTATGTTTAGTGGTAAGGAATCATCCAAATCAGTATATATATATTTAAGCAGTTATTATTTTAATACCTATTTATGTATTATCTATCTGTCAATAAGTATTATGAAATAAAATCTTGTTTTGTTGATATTATGTATCCTGTTTACTTATAGATGGCGGATTTTACTGACTGGTTTAAGAATATCCCTTATTTCACAAAACGATGGCTTTCTCTAACAGTGATGTTTACACTAGCTGCTCGGTTTGGTATTTTGAATCCAATCAAGTTTGTGTTAATCTATGAACCGTTTGTAAAAAAATTTGAAGTAAGCTATTGTTGATTTTATCTATGTTTTTTAACTGTTGGCGAGTTTTTTTTTTGTAACTTGTATTATTTACAAATAGATATGGAGAGCAGTCACAGGTTTATTCATGTACCCGTTATCACCGGGCAATGGATTACATTTCTTAATCAACTGTTATTTTCTTTATAGTTATTCATTAAGACTAGAAACAGGTCAGTACCTTTAAAGTTTAAATGGAATTTTAGTTGATTGTTTGTCTACAAAGAATAATTAAAAACTAAAGTCATTCACTGTAATTGGGGGTATTAATTTAAATTAAATTAAAAATAATAAAATGAAAATCTACCAGTCTGAGGAAATAACTTGAGTTTGGTATTACAGAGAAGTTTTAATTTGTATGTCTTATTTAATTAAAATACTATTTAAAGAGTCTCGGATAATACTGTGTTCGAAATATTCATTAGCTATATAACTAATAACTCTCAACAAAAAAGAAAAAGGTATTTTCATATTGCAATGTTCTTAAATTTTACAAATAATTTTTTAGTATATGATTTAAAATTGTATTTTGATTATATTACTATTATATTAGTATTCAATGAAATTTATTTATTATTTATTGTTATACTTCATGACTGTTTAGTTAAATATCAAGTAGGTAACCTTGTTATTAAAAATAACAATCAGGGAACACTGAATAATATTATACCTGTAACAATAATTAAAAAAAAAAAACTACATTAAAACTACTTATATAAACTATGAAGTAAATAAGTATTTCATTACAAGGTTATTGTCTAATTTGTAGAAATTAATATTTGGTGCAAAGTTTTTTAACCTAAGAGCTCTATTTAAATTTATTTTATTTTAAACATTTAATTATAATTTGTATTATTATGAGCTCAGCAAAATATATTTAACATAGTTAGAATAGATATATTATTGAAAATTAATTTTTAATATAATTAAATTTGTTTTTTCCATGTTTTTATTTAGGTGATAAATAATTTATTTTATTAGAATAAATAATTTAAACTATTCACTATTTAGTATTTTGAAGAAATATTCTATTAAAGATATTAATTATATACTATATTCTAATAGAAACATTAGTTTATCCTTTTATTAACAACTATTGCAATTTGCATTATAATTTTGTTTTGTTTGAGGTTTTATTAAAATGAGAATTTGAGAATCTTGCAGAAGCCACAGAAAAACTTTTTTTTTTAATAATTACTTTAAAATATACAATTTTATTCTGTAGATTTGTACAGTGGAAGACCAGCTGATTATTTCTTTTTACTTCTGTTCAACTGGATATGTTGTGTAGTAATTGCGCTCTTAGCAGATATAATGGTAAATTATGTTTTGTTCATATTATGTAAACATTCTCAAATTGAATAAGTGAATACAGTTATTTTTTTTTTTTTTAGATTCTCATGGATCCTATGGTTTTAAGTATATTATATGTATGGTGCCAATTAAATAAAGATGCTATTGTTAGTTTCTGGTTTGGGACTCGTTTCAAAGCCATGTATTTGCCGTGGGTATTGTTTGGATTCAACCTAATCATTTCCGGAGGGTAAAATATATTTAAAATTTAGTGATAATAAAAAGTAACTATAAAATTATTTGATTTTATTTTTTAGTGGACTGCAGGAGTTGGTCGGAATTATTGTGGGCCACACATATTTTTTCCTAATGTACAAATATCCACAAGAAATGGGTGGACCACAGCTAATACAAACCCCTCAGATATTGTTAGTTTTTTCTTAATTTATTTGTTATTATTTTTTGCATAAGTAACAAATTTGAAATGACATTATTTTTAACCCATGTAAACTTGTTTTTATAGCTACAAATTTTTCCCTAATGAAAGGACGGTCCACGGTTTTGGTCAAGCGCCAACTAGAGCTACACCAGCAGCAGCTGCGGCCCCGAATCAGCCTCAAGGAGGTAACGAAGGAATAAATTATCGACGCCATAATTGGGGTAGAGGTTATGTTCTAGGACAGCAACAATAAACTAAGTCTGATTCAACCATGTTTTGTATTTTTAACATTTATTTTACATAATACATTACAAAAATTTTAAGTGGAAGAATATTTAATTTTTGTATTTTTGTTGGAGTAAATAGATTATCTTCACTTAAGTAAATTTTAACTTTATTATTAATGTTAAACTATTGATGTAAGAAAATATTTAAAACTATTTAATAAATTGAATTAATTTAACTAAAAATAGTATGCAAATTTAGGGTTCTCTATCATTTAAAAAATGCTCAATAATAACTTATCAGTTATATTAATATGATATTTAAACTTGATTTTCAAAAACTTGTATTATTATCATAGGCACAATTTCAGTTTTTGACTTGAAGGGGATATGGATATTTAAAAGAAATAGACTTGATATATACACTGGGATATAAGTGAAATTGTATTGATTTTGAGTAAATCAAGTTTAAAGTTATTTGTATTCAATATAATTATTATATTATGTGGTCATATTATCAATGTTTTTGTGTTTAAATGATAAAAACAAGTTTTAAACGCTTGGGAATAAAGATATATGTGTTTTAACAGCTGAATAAGTTATGACTTTTTCATTTGAAGACTATTTTAGTGAGATATAGTATTTGTTGCACATGACGTATAATTTTCTTATATTTTTTTACCACACAATAGAATATTTTTAATTCAGCTGTGCTCTTAACTCAGATTTTTTAAAAATGTCACTTATACCTCTTGTGTTCTAGGCACCTTATTTATATTATTTATCTGCAGAGCCCCTTCCCTTTATCTAATATTGTATTATTCAGTAATTATAATAAAAATTATTTAGGTATCTATACCGAGCACATGTTGAGATTATCAATTCTTTTGTTTATGGAGGTTTCATAACCTACCTATGCCCTATATTAATATATTCATTTTTAAAGGAACTAATTTTAAGTCTTCTAAAACTGACTATTAAGATATTAATATTAATAATTTTAAAGTTATATTGTCTATTATTATTATTATTTATGAATCAAATTAATAATTAATATTAAAACAAAAGTTAAAAATATTAAAATTGACTAAACATTTATAATCAAACAATTCTGAGATGCTGTAATTTTAAGATTTTTATCAAAATTATAAATTATAATTTTTTTTTCAGTACGCCAAACTTTATTTTTTTTTTAACCACCAATTATAGTATAATAATGATGAACCTTGTATTAAATTTTAAACCATTTTTTTTCAGGGTTGCTAACTATACTATCTTAGATTCTAATACTGTGTATTGCATTTTTTCATTTGTTATTAATTATAAATTGTTACAATATTCAATTGCTATTTTCACAAAAATAAATTAAGTATAACTATTTTTTCTAAAATACTTAAATTGTATAAAAAATTTCAATTTTAAAAGATCAGTTTTTTTTCAAAAGTATAGTTAGCAACCCTGAAAAAAAATGGTTTAAAATTTAATAAAAGGTTCATCATTATTATATTATAATTGGTGGTTAAAAAAAAAATAAAGTTTGGTGTATTGAAAAAAAAATGTGTTTTAAAATTTATAATTTTGATAAAAATCTTAAAATTACAGCATCTCAGAATTGTTTGATTATAAATGTTTAGTCAATTTTAATATTTTTAACTTTTGTTTTAAATCATCTTGTTCAGATAGTTGACCATTAAATTGGAAATTTTGTCAGTCATCCATTATGGCAGATGTGAAATTTGCTTGGCTTTATTGAATAAAAAATGTTTTTCGCATTTGTTTTTTTACATTTTCATCACTTGTTATTTTTATTCATTTTTATTACTTTATTAAACACTTGGAAACATAATTTAACAACTTAAAATGCACAGAATTTATTTTAAAACAGTAAAAGTTAAATATTAATCAACAATTTAGATGTGCATTAAAAGTCGCCCCTCTATTAAATTAATGTCATTAAGTTAATATGGGTCAGGAAGTTATGAAGGTTTTCCTTGCGTGTCGACAAATTGAAGATTATTTATGATTAAAATTGTCCTAGTGAGCACAGCATAACACTTTGCGTTTGAACGTTTGTTACTCTAAAACTAAGCCAAATAGCGTTGCTCTGACTTCAATAAAAAAACCTAGTTATCAAAATCTCAATAATTACAAATAATAATAAAACAAATTTCAATTTTTGACCAAATTTTGGTTGAATTCTAAAAAGGCTATTTTTCAAGGTTTATGTACAAACTATAAAACTAAGCATGATATTTAATTTTTTATTACACTCATGTATTCAGTATTAAAAAACTCACAATTTGAAAAAAAATTGAAAATGTTACATTTCAACTCAGAAATACGCGAAACAGAAAACCTGAACTTTATAAAGTTTTCTCTCAAAACTTCAAAACGAAGTTTGTCGACCTTAATATTTTTTATATTCATAATGTATATGTAAAACCACAAATTTTGAAAAAAAAAATAAATAAACAACTCGCTTTGGCGATTTATGCCAAATATGTTTAAGATTTTTAACTATCATTTATTCCAGATTTGTTGATTCAGGTAATTATTAAATTCCAGATTCAATGGTTACGAAGAATAGGATTACAAATTGACAAATTAAAATATTGAATAAATTATTGTTCAAAACATTGGCTATATATATATATATATATATAAATGTATAAAAATATCGTATTGTTTGAAATGCGTCCATTCGTTGCCTATTGCTTTGATTTAAGTTATAAATGGTGGTAGCATAATACACATGGATTATGGAGTATGAAAATAATACGATATTATCACAAAATAGAATAATATTATGTTCTCAACACGAATAAAGATTATACTGGTTGCCTAACGGGCTAATGTGATATCACATAGTAAATGAAATTTGAAATTGCTCACAGGAACAGCTGTTTATCTAACCGAGTGCTCTTTCTGTCCGTGTAAATAATGTTTCGTTACAATATTTCACATTTATAAACTTCTGTGAATCGCGTTAGCAATATAATATAGTACATAAATATTCCACTGCGGTCTACGAGCACTACAAAATTGTTTTATCATCGAGTAATTATGTAGACCACAATTCCATAGCTCTTTGGGCAACCAATGTATCTTAAATCGCGGTTCTCAACTATATTCTAATTACAATAGTAAATCGTAATAATTATCACTATATGTCTTGTGGTTCCAAAGTGTTCTCATCAGTTTCGGTTGTTAGGGTGGACCAGCAGATAGCGCTAGTGTCGTTGGTTCACATTTTTAGGAAATCAGATCTCCCTTTTCCTCGGCCACCGTAACCATTGAACATTGAACCGTTGTCTTGTCATATCACGTTTTTAAATTTCTTGTTGATGTTGTTATTATTATTTGTCTACGTACACGATAGCGACGATTTATCTTCACGCGAACACTTGTTTCCCACTTCCATACGGTGTCGATAGTTTTTTGCGTCTTTTTATATTTATAATTTTATTCATTCGTCACTTGTCGGAGAACACGTTCAGGCTGTTAGCGAATCGCTGCCACCGTAAGTAAATAACCACGGCTGTTGGAGTCGCTGTTTTAAATAAGTAGCGATTGATATACGTGACAGTTTTCTTTTTAGTTCATGATGTTTGTGTTCGTCCCGTTCCTGGTTGACTGGTTATTACGGTATATGACTCCGACCCGTCTGAGGAATTTAATTCTTTTCACCCAAATGCTCTTGTTTGTTTAAGTACCCGTCGCCCACTGTCCGTTTTCTCATATGTACTGTTTATTGTGCGATATATTATCATTTTTACGAATATTATGTTTAGTTTCCATTTCATAGTCATTGACTTAATGACAACCATATTTCAGACGATTTTTTGTTTGTTTATTTTTTAACGATACGATATCTACAAATTATTCGTTATCAATTCTAACGGTCGTTTGCCGCTGCAGTTTTCCGACAGCAGATGGCGCGTTAATTTGTCTTGGGTATTCCGCCATTCAGCATTTCCGCGGTTTTAGTAATCAGTAATTGGCACACAAATATTTAAAATATAGATAATTTTAAAATTCAAAATATTAAATTCTTACGACTTGCAACTAACTGCTATTCGTGTTTTTTATTTTTATTAATCAACAGCCCAGACAACCATTTACGTTTTTGTGTATATTGTAGTATGTAGGTACTTTTGCTCTAAAATATTTAATTTGGTTCTTTCTAAATAACATACTTGAACTTCACTATCCAGTGTACTGTTTTGTAATGAATATTGTAATATGTATTGTGTTATTGCTATAATTTTTATGAACATATTTATACTTTAAACACAAATTTAATTTGTAATATGCTTAAAATTGTAAAGTGTAATTTATTTGCTTATTAATTATTATTGTTTGTAGACTAAACATCTATTCAAAATGCCACGTACTAAAAGAACAACAGTTAAACGTTCAACTGCTAACTTAAACATGTCAAACATGTCAGACAACATAACCATGGCCAATCAACCAAAAAATATCAAAGACATTTTAGAAGATTTCGATGTTGAAAGTAAAATAATTAAGTGGTTTTATTCCACCATACTATTAGTACAATATTTTTTCCGTTTTTAGAAACGAATATTGAAAATGAGTTTGCTGAACTATTAGATGAACAGAGAAATATAATTGAAAATAAATTTTTAATAGTGAGAATGAATTTGAGTGGCTCACTGGATACTAATCTTTATGATTATGTAAGTTTTATGATAATATATGTTTAATTAATAAATATACCTACATTTTTTATGTAAACATTTTATTTATAAATTAAACTTATTTTTGATAGATAGAGGAAGATATTGCAGAAAAAAATGTCTCAAAGAAAGCCGCAAGACCTACTAGAACACTTACCAAAGCTACAGGAAGTAGAACAATCAAACCTATAAGTGGTAAGTGCCTATAATAATATGAACAATATTATAAGTATTTTTAAATTCATACAGTTGAAAATATTTACATACTTAACTTAAACTAATGTTAGAAAAGATTCATTTTTATGAGCAATCTCATTATTAATAATTAAAGCTGGAATGTAAAATTTTTGTACCTGTTTTTTGACTTAAAACTTCAAAAAAAAGAACTTTAATTTTTATTTATTTTTTTTTGTAAATCTGATAAAAATTATAATTGAAATAATATAAATTTAAAGAAATTGTTTCTGATAGAACTAGACTGCGTGTTACGACTTATGGAATAAAAAAAAAGGAACTATTTTAATTTAGCTCCCACACAATTTTTTGATTTTTTTTTTCAAAATGTGTTTTTGCGTGTACACATTGAATGTAAAAAAAGAAAGTCTGGCGAACTTTATTCGGAAGTCATGGGGGAAAACTTCATGATGTTGTAGTTTTTCGTTTCGCGTATTTCTAAGTTAAAATTTAACATTTTCAAAAAAAGTTTTCCAGAATGTGTATTTTAATACTTAATTCGGTATAATCAAAACTTACCTATCATACTAACTAAAGTTTTTGTACATTAACTTTGAAAAATAGTGTTTTTGAATTAATCCAAAATGTGATCAAAAATTGACCTTTTTCATTATTTTTATATTTGATAATAAAGTTTTTTTTATTGAAGTCAAAATAAGTCTATCTGGCTTAGTTACAAATGTTCAAACGCCAACGTGTGTCATTGCGCTCACTCCGATAATTTTAATCGAAAATAACTCTCAATTTGCTGTACAAAACCATGTTTAATAGTTTAGAAGGAAAAGTGAAAAGCATATAGGTGAAATTAGAGACCTAAGGTGGCCACTCATTTGGACAATTTTAATCGAAAATAACCCTTGATTTGTTGTGCAAAATTGTTTGAATGTTTGCAACTCCAAAACTAAGCCAGATAGACTTATTCTGACTTCAATAAAAAAAACTTTATTATCAAATATAATAATAATGAAAAAGGCCAATTTTTGATCACATTTTGGATTAATTCAAAAAACACTATTTTTCAAAGTTAATGTACAAAAACTTTATTTAGTATGATAGGTAAGTTTTGATTATACCAATAGATTAAGTTTAAAAAATACACATTTTGAAAAAAAAAACTTCTATTGATTAGTATCAATTTTATTGCTTTAATTTAATAGATTATTATCCAGGAATTCTTGTGATTCATAATTTTCTAAACATTATTAATTGTTATTTTGATTATTCGATTATTATCGCCCCTTAAAATATAATACAAATACATAATTGATAGTTTGTTTTACAAAAATTATGTTAGCGCTTAAAAATCTTCAATACAATTTCGAATGTAAATTTTGGATTCAAAAACCTCAACATATGAACAAAATTATTTGAACATTTTCAATTTTCAATAAATAAAAAATACAATTTCTTATTCACATTCATAAGTAAGTGAAATTAATTTGTAATAGTGCACCGCAAATTTTAGAATACTATGTAAAATACTTATAAATCTCGTTCATATAATTGATTGATATTATTTTTTAGATTTGGAGCATATTAAGAAATCTATAGTATTGATTTTACTATAATGTGTGCATTTGTTTTTTTTTTGTTTCTGAAAACAACATATTATCAGAAATCTTGCTTCGAAGTATCAAGGGTAGCACCTTTTCTGAAAGACAAATTTAGTTGGTGCATTGAAGTGGTAATTTTTTGATTTTCTAAGGGGTTCTCAAAATAATAAATTTCATTGTTTTTAATTTTAGATCTATCTAAAATAGTGAATAATAAAAGGGAAAATCTAAAAGAGATGAAAAAACAATTTTTTTTTTTTCAAATTATAGTGCAAAGATTATATTTAAAATTTGTATGGCTAATGTTTCTAGCACAATTGTGTAAGATATGTTCTTTCAAATTCAAAAAATTTAGACACAATACACAATAGGTTTTCTATATTTGGTTATAAATAAATACATTAGTGCATAAGTATATTGTTGTTGTTAACAGCTTATTGACACCTTAGATCATAATATCATATTGTATATTATACAATATGTAAATTTCTGGGAGAATAAAAATAGTAAATACTTACACTAAACATAACACGGTTCAAATAATATTTCCTTTGATTATTGGGAACTGACTGGCAACCATAGTTAATTTCAAAATAAGTGAATATCTCATCATCATTATTATGAAATAAGTCTATTAATATGCATTCTAAAACAAGAGTTTGCTCGCAAGGTATGCAAGCGCATATTCTGTATGCATTAAATTTTAACAAATAATAAAATAATACAAAATACGTCATTATTTAACTATAAAATAAAGTTTAAAAAGCTGGATTATTATCTTATCCTTTAATTGTTAAAATACTCCTCAATGAGCTGAAACTCATTTAATTCAATTTAATTAAATATTTCTTTAATCCGAGTATGAAACGTAATAGTGTCTAAAAACATACAATAGGAGACTTTGTTTTAAAAGAAAAAGAGCTTACACTGGGGACTGGTGTGGCCACTGTTATAGGTAACTAGTTGGGAAGGTGGGATATATTATGTTATTTAATTTATACCTGTTACGATAAACCATTGTAAACAAAAAACGTTTAAGAGCAGAGTTTTAAAAGGCCGTAATATTTAAGATTTTCATCAAAATTTGGTTTTAAAACAATTAAAAAATAATAATAATAATAATAAATTATGCTCAATTTTTTGTTTTTAACCACAAAGTATGACTTGAACAGCCTGTTAAATTTTCAAGTATCTCTGTTTGGTCTAACAATTTTATCCATTATACATATTAAATAAATATATAAAAAAACTCAAAATTAAAATTTCTATAAATAGCTCAAAAATTGGCCAAATGTTTTGAAAATTTTACCCTCTCTTTAAAAAAAAAAAACAATTTGAAGTTTTCTGTCAAAATGTCAAGTCTACGTATATTTTTATTTGAATTGCATTAAAAACAAAATCATGTCATTTTTCAATCTGAGCAATATTTCTGATAGAAAACATTGTGTAAACAAATTAAAAGTAATGAAATGGTAACGATGCGACTAGCCATAAATATTTGCCATTTTACTTATAATTTTCTTTTCCCAGTTATTTTGAAAACCCCTTAGAAATTAAAAAACTTACCTCTCTAATGCACCAACTAGACAATATTTCCTTTCAGAAAAGGTACTATACTCTATACATCAGAACAAGATTTTTTTTTTCAAAAAGTTGTTTACAGACAAAAAAAAAACATCATAGTAAAACCAATTGATTCCTTGCTATACTCCAAATCTAAAATTAATATATAGTGAAACCTGTAGGTATGTAACGGGTAGTTACATAAACACTGTCCTCTGTAGACTAGTGTGTGTTCTGTTATAGACAGTTACGGAAGATGACATTGAAAAGTAATTATTAAAACAGCCAGAGAAAAATAAATAAATGTACAACACTATAATAGCGAATCAATATGGATTAAGTACTGAATAGTTTTTAAGTTTATACGTGTTTCTGGTTATTTTTTCCTGGCAATTAACTTTATCTTAATTTTTTAATATGCAATCTGTCATAACCAGTATTCAAAATAGACCAATGACACTGTTGCATGGTATGTATGTATACGTTTGCAGTATATTTGATTTTAAACTAAGATAGTTGTCTGTTATCAAGGTGTTGGTGAGGTTATTACTGTTCTTGCCGTAATAGAAAGTTTTGTTATAGACAGGTTGAAATACATTGAAATGCCTATTGTCAGGATGTTATTATTTTGTCTGTTGTATATAGGTGCCTGTTTAGACAGGTTTGGCTGTAACAATCTTGCCATTCTAATTTGTTTTATTTGTTTTATTTTATTCTTCATAGCATCTAGAGCAACATCTTTAAAAAGTAATAAGATCGCGACCAAACACCACAGTGCTGTGCGTGCTGTTGATGACCGAGCACCTTTATTGGAAAAAAATAATGAGCCAAGTTCAAAATTCAAAGTAAGTATAATGAATACATTGTAATTAATAAGTTATTTAATAATAGTGTTCATAAGTTTGATAAGTTTAAAGCCAAAATTGAATGAAACTTATTTCTTGACTAGCAAATTTTTTTTAAAAATAATTTTTCCAATCTATTTGATTGATGGTTGTTTTAATTTTTAGTATAAAATTAAAATTACAAATAATTTTAGAAGCACTTCTTTTTACAAACATAACATCTAAGTAAAATTAATAGATTCTTTTTACTTTGTTTAAAATTATAAATTACCTAAATTTTTTTACAGACATTTACAGTGTACACATAATTGAGAACACTCATTATCTTTGTGTAGATTTATGAATTTATAATTTTGTATTTTTAGTTGATTGTTATACTTGGTAATACTCATTTTTATGGTCTCTGACTTTTTTTACCATTTATTAGACATGGGCTTGTGCAAAAAAACTTTTTTTTTAACTGGCAACTGTTACTTTTCACTACCACTTATTTTTGCCTACATTTTTTTTGTACATTTTGATGTTTAACCGACTTTCTATTTTCAAAATTAGCTGAGTTATGTTCATTTAAAGTTGTTTGATATTTTTAGATTTTACGACATTAAGTTATGTTTATCTTAATAACATTCATATTACAATGTTAGTAAGTATTGTGAAAAATAATATGAAATTGATTTATCAAACATGTCGAATATCAAATAACTTTAAATTACCATATTTCAGCTAATATTAATCTTATAAAAATGGTTTGCTCATAAAAAAATATGAAAATAAATAATAAGTGGTCAAAAATAGGGGTTGCCATTTTAATTTCAGAAAAAAAAGTATTTATGTGTATGTGCAATCATATAAAAATTGAATCTAACTAAAAATTGTCGTTCATACACTGTATATAGTAAAAGTATTAAAATGATTTTGAACTTCAATTTATATTTTGAGTACTTGTTTATTAATTGAACCACATTTTAATGTTTCACCACTTAAGTTTTTATTGTTTTATAACAATTTAATAGAATGGAATATATAATTGTATTAGTTTGTTAAATGTATTGAATAACTTCCGTATTTTAGACTCCACTTAATCGACCACCAATGACTGCAGCGGCGACTATAACACCAAAAGTCAATATGAATGAACCAATATCAATGATGCGTCGTCCAAACCAGGGTGAGGTAGCCTATTCTGTGACTGGAAGTCCTGTTATGGTATCGTCTATTACTAGAGATGATATGGCTACAGTTTGTGTTCCATTAGCCAATGGGAATGTATGTGTAAACTTCATTTTATTTTTGAATGCAACAAAAAAATAATAATAATATTGAAATTAATTTTAACCTGGATTTTCTCATTTAATATGGTTTGTTCATTTTAAGGTTCTTTCGATTTTACCTAGAGCTGGTGGTACTATGGATATTTCATTAAACGATCAAACTAAACATGAACTACTTCTTCTTAAAGGAAACATTGAAGTACTTTTAAAAAAAGATAAACACTCGTGAGTGATAGTAAAACAAAAATAATAACTTATTTTCTGTTTATAACAATTTTTTTTTTTACTGCATTGGAAAAAAATAATTCCGTCTGTTACAATATAATGTTGTATTTGATCATGTGCAAAAACAATGTAGTTTTTAGATTTTGTTGATATTAATTTGTTAGTTAAAGTAAATACAATGTTAAGTCATTAATAAATTCCACTTAATGTTAAACTAACCAGAAATATAATTTTTACAAAACAAGTATTGTATTTAGTATATAATTTATACAAAGGTGACATCTAAATTAGTATCCAGTAAATTTATGCTAAATGTGTGTACAAATTATAAATTATTTCTACCAAAAATAACACTTTAATTTTGTATTTGTAAATAACAAATAATTTTAATTTTAATAATTGATATATAATGTTAATATTCTTATTTTTATATCATAAACATTTAGATACATAGATTTTTGCAAATAAAGGTAATATGAATCATTATTTTAAATGCTTTTAAATGACATATGTTAGTAATTACTTATTACTTATGGTTATTATGTTAAATACAGATATTTGTAAATAAACAACAAATAATTTTTTTTTTTTATGTACATATATAATATACAGCTTAGAAGACTGTTTTATTTTGTAAAAAATCTGGTCAAATTTTCCAACTAATCATAAAAAGCTTAAAAAGCTGCATACTTAGCAAGTCATTTTATGGGGCAATATACACATAATTACATTTTTGTATCTATTTAAATTTTATATTTTTTAACTTGAGGCCTAAGTTACAACATTTATTATGTTTATAGGTACATGCAGTTAGTGATGTAAAATTATGATAATTTATTAACTTTTGAGAGAATATTCTCCAAGATATAGAATAATATTAGGTAATCTTTTTCTTTGATAATTCATTGATTGAACCTAACCACAGTCCACAAGTCCACATTATAAAAATTATTTAAATAATTATAACATGACAGTTGCCATTGACAGTTTGGTTTTACTAGTTCAACTTTAACCGTTCTACATTCTGCCAATAATAATATTAATTCTTATGAGTATTTATAGGCGTTAAATATGCTACATCAATCTCACCGCTATTTTCAAACAGGATCTAGTATAATAGTTCCACTGTACTTCTGTACTATACCAGTAGAACTAACCTTCACATATTCACATCGCTGTGACACTATAAATAAAATATAATAAAAAAATTACCAAGTAATAATTAGAAAAAGAATATTCTCTATATGCATAGGTAGTTTTTTTTTGTAGGTACTATGTGGACACAATTGTTGGATCAAACAGAAATGCTTAACACATTTGTGGACAACTACTGCTATAGCAGTACTTTCAAAAGTTGATGGTACATATATCATTACTGTTATAGCAATATATATGTAGTTAAAAAAAAATACTGCTGTTATAGCAGTATTATTTTCAATGGTTTTATATGAAAGACGATATTTTACTATCTTACAATAACACTTTGAAACATCGGGCACTGTATTATTTATACGTTACTTTTAGTTTTATTTTCTTTATGGCTTAATTTACTTAAATTATTACTGCTATATCAGTAGTATTTAAAAGTATTTTTTTGTTCCTTCAGAGAATTTCAACTGTTCACTAATGTGTTAACAAATTAACAGGTTCATTGTAAGTTGTATTTAGTGGTGAAAAAAATTATTAAGAGTTATGTAGAAATTTCAGATTCTTAGTGTTTATTTATTGTTTTTTTCTATGGACAACTTTTCTACCAACAATTTTGCTCTGATTTACAATGATAGCACTTTTTCTAAAAGAACATCGGACTGGAGAGGTACTTTAGAGAGATCATTTTTCAATTTCCCCCAGGAGTTTACCCAATAAATGGGAAAATAGGTATAATATTAAACAAATATTAAAGAAAATATATAATGCCTATTTAATTATTTTCCCATAATATGACATATATATTGTTGACAAAGGATTAACTGAACATCGCTCAGATACGTATTTTCGTTAGCAATGGTTTATCGTTGCTTATAGCTTTTTTATGTGTAGCATCGACTATCGGCTGTTATGATTTGCAACAAATTTGCACTGTTGATCATATTTTCATACATTGTAATTTGATCAGTTTAAGTGTGACCCACTTAAAGTAAGGTTTGTTTATAAAACCTTACCATCCATCCGAGAGGCCATGATTTGCAATGTAAACATTAATATAAAAAAACAAAATAACTGATAGGTACTGCACCATTTCACGAATTTCGAGAGCGAAACATATGTATTGGTTATTCAGTGTGAAAAAAGCAATTGATTTTACTATATGATGTGTGTGTGTGTTTTTTTGTGTCTGCAAGCAAATTTTTATTTAAGCTTTTATTTTAGCTTTAACAAAGCTGTTTTTGGACCCAGTTTTGCATGATGGAGAGGACATTTATTGATTTCCAAAGGATATTTATAAAAAAAACTGATACCTTTTTTGATGCATTTTAATCTAGTTGGTTAGTATTTAAGTCGTTTTTAATTTTTTAAGTTTTCGTAATAATTTGGGTGTAAAATGAAAACTGACAAATTTACGACGTTAATTTCTTTATTTAAAGTTTTTATGAATTACTTTTTTTTTTAACAAAAATCTAATTTTATCAAAAAATGTCACTTAACATTTTTTGTTGCATTTTAGATCTAGTTCATGTGCAAGTTCATGTACCCGGTGGTGAAAACTCAGAGGGGGGGCAACCTTAATTTTTATTATTAATCAAACACTTATATTAATGTATTATGCGTATTTTAAAAAACTGTTAAAAGTATTATAATATAATAGTAAATTTTACACTAATAAATTATAATTACTATAATTGAAAACAAATTGCAATTTATTTTATTTTTCCCAAATTCATTAACAACTTTTTCAGATAAATTAAGTTCTTCGACTTTTTTCCCATGTGACATGTCCATGTCCCAACTTAATATATATATAATCCGGATAAACGATTTTCACACATTAGATAACCGTAAGTCAGCTGTCCACAAAAAAAATTCGCAAATGATCGGCTGTAGTGATTAGTACCTTAGATATTAAAGAATGGATAGGCCATGGCCAGTGGCGTAAATAGGAGAGGGTTTTGGGGGTTAAAAAAAAATGTATGATTGGTACGGCACAAGTGCGTATTTATGAATCTATTTGATTTATGTATTAACTAAAACCCAAAAGCTTTTTTTTTATGACCCCCCCCCTTTTCAAATTAATTTCTATACACGCAACTGGTCATGGCTATACCAAAAAAAATAGAGGAGAATGTGCCAGAATGGGGAAGAGAGAAAGATTGTTTTTATCAATGCTTCTCACTTTGGCTTCTGCCAGAATTATCACAAGATATATTCTGTGATTATTATCATTGCAAGACGTACCTAAATATTGGATTATAAATCTTGTAATAATAAAAAAATTATTATGTATATAAATTATTAAATTAAATTGTCTCAGTTATATTATTATTATTAATTTCATAATTTGACTTATTTAGTTCTAAATAATACGATTGTTTATATTTTTGATAAATTAATTATTATCTCCTAACACTGTTATCTATTTGTGATAAGTATATATGGCCTATCCATTCTTTAATATTTATGGTATGGTACCACGATTAAAGATATAATTTTAATATGATAAATCCTTAATCGTGGCTGGTGTCAATTACAAACCATAGGGCACATAGAGTACTATAGAGAGGCCTTAGTCTGTACTGTATGTGTTAAAAAAGTGAAGCCGGTCAGTTTCGAAAGTACTCGCTTAACGAAACTATTGGCCGTAAGATAGCGTGCCATTACTATTGAAATATTATTATTTAAATTACTATTCTACTGTAATATTATACATATTTTAATTATTATTATTTTAGATTCCGAGTGTAGCGAAGGAGCTACTGGTTATACTTAGATGCTTATTTTTTTTCTTTCCTTGTTCTAGTCTACGGACACGTTTTTCCGAGTAAATTTGCTTCAATTTTTGAGTGTAGCAACTTTTTTAAAAGATTAAGTTGTCTAGATGGTACTTCTGATTTTCGACGAAATTTTTTAAATAAAAGCACTGAAGTGGGAAAAAACGTACAATTTCACGATTTCATTATCTTATAAAAACACGGACGATGTTTTCTACCAGAAAAAATGATTTAATCGAAAAATCACAAGACACCTTTCTTGTTGCCTTTTTGATTTACTTTCTTACGGTATCATCGCCAAAACTTTTGAGCTTTTGAAGAATTAAATTTTTTATGCTATAATTCAGTTATAAATACACAGAGAGATTTGAAACTTGTTAATAATACTTATTTTAGACTTAGCTAGACGTGGTACAATTTCCAAAATGATCAGCCGACTTAAACATTGAAAGTATTCTTAGTTCACTTCAAATCACGTTCGTAAGGCCCTTTCTATATTACTCTATGATATGAGGCATAAATCATTGTATATTACACAGATAGGTATAGATAATAAACCAGATTGCTAACTAGTGATAACAGCAGATGCTAAAAAAGGCTATGTTGGTTGTAAGCTCTGCAATGTTATCATTACTACGTGATACATACTAGAAATTCGTTGGTACAAACCGGTGTACCATGTTGATTCCAATATATCATACCGGTATGCCAAAGCGGATTGGTACAGTACACACCGGTACATAGAAAGAAGATCGGTTAAGATGTCGATGGCGATTCGTTCATACCGGTGTGTGATACCAATTCAAATGATATGGTACCGGTTTTAAAAGAAATTCGTTGATTTGTAATTGGTACAAAATATCATTATCCCCTCTATGGATCATAGTTATTTGGTATCACACAGTACACTTTTCTATGTTATCACAGTTTTCTCTGAATAATTCAAATATTACTGAATTTTTTTGAATGATTATTCTAGTAATACTAGAATGCTGAATGATAAAGTTTAACAACAGTACAATTTGGATTACTACTATAATCCGCGTGACCGCTGAAATGAAAATAAATTAGGCACCTATGCAATTAATTTTATATTAATGATTGATTATATATTCAATGCATACTTTCAAAAATATGATCATCTACATTGGACCAATTTATGTTTGATGCCATTATTATTTTAATTATTTATTTGTTAAATAATAATATTTTAAAAATGTGTACTTATTAACAAACCTAGAAAAAAGATATTAAGAAGTAAAATCTATCAGAGTCGGTCGGTTAGTGGTGGTGGTGCGGACCCATCACAAAAAAAAATAATAAGGTTGGAATTTCAGAAGAAATCAAACAGAAAGATAATAAAAAACGAATCGGTATAACGAAT